CCTTTTATTGTAAAGTGGTTGACCGCAGTTCTGTTCTTTTCTCTTGACTATCATGCTAAGCAAACTACGACTGGTAAGTAGAATTTATAAAATAATGTTAGAATAAACGATAATGTTTGATATATTTGATTAATGTTGATATTTTTGTAAAATATCGTGATCATTAAAACTATTAAATCGTTATAGGATAGATAGCCATGGATATTGTAGATTACAGTTATATATTGCATGTATATGTGGGAATGATGTTATTAATCGATTGTTTTGGTTTATTTTGTCTGTGATTTGGTAGCAACACTAAGATAGATCAAAGAGTAGAGAGAGATTTATGTCACGTGTATGACGTGTGTTGATTTGCGAAAGAAAAATACAGAATAATAGTTAAAACGGACTTTCTTTGGGTAAATATTCCTACAAAATATGGGCTCGTCCGGGATACCGAAGAAATATGAAGTTTTAACTATTCGTGAAGACTGAGAAGATTTCACAATTTTTCGTGAGTGAGGAAATCTTCGAGAGAAGACGCCATTACAGTACAGGTACCTACTGTTTTACCGACAGAGCTAAACTAGGATTGAAAAGACGTCATTGTCGTACTACAACTACTGTTTTACCGACGGAGTTACAGAGCGCACTTCATACCTGTTTTAATAGGGTTGTCATATGAAGAACGAATTTCCCATAAAGTTACGAATGAATCGATTTTCATATCGATTAAAGAAGTAAGATGTAAACTGAAGAAGTTATGTTATGATTTGATATTTTGAAGACTGTTACTTTATATGAAGACGTTCCTATTCTTGGACCAGAGAATATTTTAAAGACTATCTTAAAGACTGAAGATTTATTTTAAAGAAGATGCCGCCAAAGAAAGAAAAGGAAGAAAGAAAAGGAAGAGAGTTGAGAAGTCTATGTCTGCTTTTAGTGGAGACAACAATTACTCAATTGAAACCTTTATTAATGACTTTGACGATATCGCCAAGCTGATGGAATGGGGTGAGATACAAAAACTAATCTACGCCAAGCGCTTGCTGACTGGAACTGCAAAGCTTTTTCTAAGAACACTAAGTAGTCCAAAAACATGGCTGGAACTAAAGACTGCATTAAAAGAAGAATTCGGTTCAAAATTGAATAGTGCAGCCATCCATAAAAAATTAGCTACACGTAAAAAGAGAAATGATGAGACTTACCAACAGTACTTTCTAAATATGAAAGAATTGGCGTTGCTTGGTAAAATTGAAGACGAAGCGTTGATTGAATACATGATCGACGGGATACGCGATGCAGAATGCAATAAAGCTATTTTGTATGGAGCTGAAAATATAAAAGATTTCCGGAAGAAGCTGGATCTGTACGCTGAAATGAGAAAGAAGATTACAACTACGAGGTATAATAATAACACGAAACAACCGTCTCAGAGTACTTCACAGGCGAATAAAAAACATATAATGAAAACAAGATGCTACAATTGTGGTGAAACAGACCACCAAGCGCCGAGATGTACGAAGGGCATTAAGTGTTTTAAATGCAACAATTACGGGCATAAATCAAACGAGTGCCCAACCAACCAAAAGAAGACTCTAAAAATTCAAACAAATCATACCGAACATTGCAACTCACCTTACAAGAAGTTGATAATAAATGGGGTTGAATCCAAGGTCCTAATTGATACAGGAAGCGATGCGAGTTTGGTCAAAGAATGCCAGTTCAACAAGGTTAATGGAAAGAGGTACAACTATAATCCGCATGCTGTATTGTGCTTAACAGGAATAGCCGAGCACGAAATACGTACTAAAGGCTCTTTTATGGCGAAAATTAAGATGGATGATTGTTATTTTGACACTACCTTCCATATAGTTAATGATAATGACATACCAGTAGATATCATTATTGGAAATCAGATATTGGAGGAAGTCGACGTTCACTTTTCTGCTGATGGGATAACAGCTAAGAGGGTTTTGCACTTAACAACTTTAGAAGATGACGATGAAACCTATAATATTGGTAAACAAGAATTTAAGAGTATTATCGAAACGATGATTAAAGACTATAATCCCCAGAATTATGTATTATCAAAAACCTGTCGAATAAATTCCATGTGCAGTTACGAATATTGAAAGCTCTATTGCTGAACACTACACTAGGAATGGACGGTTCGCTATTGGCTTGGTGATGGAAGTAGTAAAGAGAACCATACAAATGTGAGCACGTCTTCATTAGTTATTACTGCGAGTAAGCGAGATTCTATTAACCCTTTTTAAGGCAGAGGCGACATATTTACCACCAACAAAAATTCTCTCTATAAATTAATAACATGTAATACACAGCTATAGAGATTAGTGTATGATAATTGATATTATCTAAGAAGTAATATGCAGAAGTTGCAAAAATGTACTCACAATAAAAAAAACTGTGTCTGTTTACATTAAATCGTGAAAAATAATATTTAGAATTAATTAAGTTCATTAAATCTGGTATCATTGTTTTCTATGATTTATGGTATGGTACATAGATTGACGTTCTTTTAAATCTTCTTTCTTTTAGGCGTTACTTCGTTAGTGGTCAGTTGCCTTTTTAGTATGGGAGTAAATGGGAAATAGTTAAAGTAACGACTGTTGTCGTTGGCTATCTTTATGTGACCTACCTTTTATTGTAAAGTGGTTGACCGCAGTTCTGTTCTTTTCTCTTGACTATCATGCTAAGCAAACTACGACTGGTAAGTAGAATTTATAAAATAATGTTAGAATAAACGATAATGTTTGATATATTTGATTAATGTTGATATTTTTGTAAAATATCGTGATCATTAAAACTATTAAATCGTTATAGGATAGATAGCCATGGATATTGTAGATTACAGTTATATATTACATGTATATTCGATTTGTATGTAAATTGTAATAAAGATTGTATACTGAAATAACCGCCATGATTGTATAAAGCAGGTAGGTAATTGTGTGTAATCTCACTAGATACATATCGTTGGTAATTTTGAATAAAGAAGCGCTCGTAACAATGGACAGTGCAATATCGTCGTTGATACTGCAATACCACGTAACTAACAGTGGATAATACCGCGGAAGTACAAAAGTATCAAATTTTAGATTTGGCGGCAATGAGCTAACGATGTCGATCGGCTACGGACCACATTCACAGTTCGGCGTATAGTTCATTCAATCTGCCACCAATCACAACTAGTTAAAACCGCGAGAGCGAACCTGTCAAAATAATTTGACCAATACCGCGTATTCTCACGATTATAACAAGAAGACGTTATTGTTTTTGTGTGGCTCTCCGGCAGTAATACGAAGCTATAAATTAAAAATAAAAATCACAAATGTTCGGTAAAATTTCTCTTTACACAGCAGTGTAGTGCGCCCTTAGATTGTGAAACTATTGGAAGGACATCGAAGAACTCAATTATGGAACACAAAGCAAGTACGAGTAAATTATGGGTGACTAGATCACTCTACGTACTCAATGAGGAAAAAGTGTACTTCGAGGTAACCACTTATAAGAACGGTGATGCAACTGAAGTCTCCCTTGGAGGGGTCGCAAAGTTGAATAAAAAAGAACATGAGGATTACACGAATTTCTTTTTATGCACCGGAGCCCACCCGATCGTTCCAGTAAGCCGAACACGTAGTGGGTTCGACGCCTCCAGCGGTTGTGTTTATTATTTAGGTGAGCTCGCCAGAAGCAGAGTGCTTCAGAGACGTGAGATTAACGATACCGGTAGGAAAATCCGGTACAACGTCGTCGAACGAGTTCCCGCGCCGATACAGCACTTTCGAGAGAATCAAGCAGAATTGCTTTCGAGACATTTCGAGTCTTTTAGTATGTCTATGTCTAAAACAAATTGGTAAGTTTTTAATATTGTTTTAATACGTGTTTCTCAGTCAATTTGGTTACTTATTAGAATCTTTAAATTTACTTATTTTACATGTAAAATTGGCACTAATTATTGTGATGGTAGTTCCGCGGTTTTGAATTTTGATGTGTTATTTACGTGTTAGCTAGTTACGCGTATTTGTTGATTTTGTTTTAAAAAATTAATCGTATCGTTGTATTTTCTAAACACTTCACGTTCCAGTAGCGGTATGTAAATATATATAATTACGTAATAATTAAATAATTGTGGGCAGATTTCAAGCGTTTCTCTTCTCTTTTATTTTAGAATATCATGGAAGAAGATTCAGGTGTTGACGAAACTGTAGCATGGAGAAACGCCGACGTCAGTAGTAATATTGTCACATTACAAGAGGTTCAAAATCGACGCCAGGTACTTCTAAATAAAAGGAAGCTAATTTTGGATCAAAAGCGTGCAGGTAACCCACTTATATTTCAAAAACCTGTCCAATAAATTCCATGTGCAGTTACGAATATTGAAAGCTCTATTGCTGAAGCTGATACTTTGACAACAGTTTTAGAACCCGTTCCGAGCTCATCAGGTCTTCCGGAAGTTATTACTGAGTCACTATTGGATTTTTCGTCAGATCACTCTGACGTTAACCCTAATTATGTTCCATTATCTCAAATCACAAATGTTCAACCGATCGAGTCATTAGATCACATATTGAATGGTTCTCCTGCTCATTTGAATTCTACCCCTAATAATGGTTCAGAGTCAGGTACATCTACAATAGCACTATGTTCACAATTAGTAAACTCGCAGCCAGAAGAGCCTTTTATAGTACAATCATCATCACCCTTAGAACAAGAATTGACTGATGAATCTGAATGTGGAGATGAGTCCTGGGGGAAGGATTTCTGGACATCCAGGCCAGATCCCGATGAATTTGATAAGGTGACAATAAAACCTCGGTATTTATTGAATAGGAGAGCACGTCCAGTAGCGCATTTCAAAAAGTTTTTTTGGTGATGAAGTCTTCGATTTGATTGTTACTCAGACAAACTTGTATGCGGATCAGCAAAATATAAAAAATTGGCAGCCTGTTGACAAACAGGAAATTAGTGCTTTTTTGGGCATTCTCATTATAATGGGTTATCATATTCTTCCACATATCGATTTATATTGGTCATCGGATCCTGGATTTCGTGTGAATGAAATAGCTGAAGTTATGCCAGTAAAACGCTTCAAAAAAATTATAGAGACTTTGCATTTGAACGATAATAGTCAACAACCAAGTAGAGAAGATGTAAATTTTGATAAATTATATAAAATTCTTCCTCTTATATCCTTACTTAGTCAATCATTTCAAAACAATGCCTCTAATTCCTCTTCCCAAAGTCTCGATGAGACCATGATACTATTCATAGGAAGGTCCAGTTTGAAGCAGTACATGCCGCTAAAGCCCATAAAAAGGCGCTATAAAGTGTGGTGCTGTTGTGATAGTAGCACAGGGTACTTACTCTTATATAACTATGAAATGTATACAGGCAAAACAGGAAAAGGAACAGAAGAGGGTCTAGGGGCTAATGTCGTAAAGAAATTGTCAAGTAAATTAGCACAAGAAGATTTCAAGACTCATGTTACATTCGATAACTTTTTTTGCGACTTTTCTCTCATGCAGTACTTGTATGAAAAAAATATTTATGCCACTGGAACAGTGAGAAGAAATAAAGCAATTTTAGCCAACATAATAAAAAATAACACAAATAGAAACGGTAGAAACAAAAGCCTAAAGTTGAAAAAAGGTGAGTTCAAGTGGAGAACTAAACAAGATGTAGCATTTACTGTGTGGCAAGATACTAAAGAGGTTTTATTGTTGACAACTGCATTTCATCCTAAAGTAGAAGTAACTTCTGTACAAAGAACGCAAAAAAATGGCACCAGGGAGGCTGTACATTGTCCTAGGGTTGTGAAAGAATACACCAAAAGAATGGGCGGTGTCGACCGTTTCGACCAAGTGAAGGGGACGTATGCCGTCGGCAGAAGTAAACGCTGGTGGTTGGAGAAGTAAACGAAAAAACCTAATTGCACATTGACAAATCCAATATTTATTTACTATAAAACATTTCATTATGTAACCAGACATAAAACAATAATAGTGTTAAAAGTAAAATACTTTTAGTAATTGACCAAAATCATACACCTCTTACAGTTTGAACAAATTTATGTCGGAATTGCCCCAATGCACCAATGCAATGATATGCAGGCTAATTTTCTAATAGAATATATGTCAGAATTTTAACACTTTATGTGTCACGCAGTATTCGTTAATTTAATTAGAATAATCGTTTAAATAGAATTTAAAATGTTGTGAAGATTTAACTTTTGGTTGTCTCATTATAAAAGTGATGTCATAAGTTTCTATAATATTTAAATATTCCATTATTTTAATAAGCTAATAAGATTTTTTAATTGATCTTATTATTAGTGTGCGACCGAAAGTTCAGTTTCGGTTTCAGCCGAGTTTTGGTCAAAAATCAAGTTTCGGCGGCATTTTCGGTTTCGGCCAAAACTGGCCGAAACTATTGCCGAAACCGACACTGATTTCGGAAGTTGTCGTGCACGCTCGCATAACTTTGTTTCTCGTGGCAACGCTTTGGGAGACGCTGGCGGCCCTGTTCGGGAAATGTCGTGCGCCGTTCGGATAGCTCTGTAGCAACACAACTTAGTCAGTGCGTTATAGCCCGACGAAAACATTCTTTAGAGGTTATGTTGGGATGGAACTGATTACTTGTAAGTTTTTGTTTCGTTTCTGTACTTGAATGATTTATATAGTTAAACTAGCTGACCCGGCAAACGTTGTTTTGCCTTATACATTATTTCTAGGAAATAATGTCATTTAGGGGTATGAAAAATAGATGTTGACCGATTCTCAGATCTACCCGATGTGCACACAAAATTTCATAAAAACCGGTCCAGCCGTTTCGGTGGAGTATGGTAACTAACATTGTGACACTAGAATTTTATACAGAGAGTTTCATTTCCTTTCACATATACTTAAGCCACATATTCTACCCTTAATTTCTAGGCGATTTGCAAAATATGAACAAAATATATCCAGTAGTTTAGCCACAGGACTCATTTTTGTGTTTCGTAAATTGCAACATCATGTGTACATGCAGTCATAATACATTGACCTCAGGCGGCGATCAGCTGTAGGTATAGATCAGCGGCGCGGTAATCACACGTTGCCGCTTTTACTACACCCGAATCGAACGAAATATGTTGATTATTACGTCATCACGATGCAACACGCGTTTTTAATTAGTTCATCCAGTAAGGACAGTCAGTCGGCCCTTGGCCACCGGCGAGCTTATGCTATTCCGTATCCTTGTAGATGCGCTCACGACAAATAACCGTAATAATAATATTGTTGTTGTTTATGAGATACATATTTGTTTAGAGAAGTTTTCTTGTGGTAATAATTGTTTAGTCTTATTGCTTTCGTCATAATACACGGCAATGGTGTGAACAATTAATGTTATCGTGTGCGCAAGACTTCGTAATGTAAGGAGTCCTGCTAATTTTATTTTGAAAAGTCACTATTAGGTTCTGTGTGTAGTGTAGTGTGAAACTGAGTGCATTATCAGTCTTTTAATTTTATTGGGTTATCGATATCAACATCCATAATGCCGTGAGTGACCTTCACAGCCGCGGAATATCCTGCTATGATGTTAATTTATGGAAAACTCTATCAAAACGCATCTTTTGCTTTACGGACACGTATGGAGTCAATCGTGTATGTCCTACAGACTGCCGAATTTTTGTAAGGGCGGTACAAAGATTACGAGACAACCAAGGTAACTACTTTTTCAAGGAGTGACGCGTACTGCTGGGTCGGAAGCTAGTCGAGCATTCACGAAATAAACACGTGAATAAAATCGCATTCTTTATAAATAGATTTTTAAAAGCAAGTGAAGTGATTGGTAGGTAGGTAATAAGAATGTAAAGTTCGCCGGCGGCGGCGTCGTTTTGATGTCGCCGACATTGCGACGCTGCCGTGTAGGTACAGTTCACCGACGCATGTTATCAATGGTGTTCTAATTCGGAAATTATTTTATTGTATTTAGTTTGTTCTAAATTTGCATTTCTGTATTTTCGTACTAATTTTTTATTTTTTTATTTTAACCGACGTATATTGAACCGTGTTATCTGTTATTTCATTTTTTGTGATATCTATACCGCCACAGTGTATATAGTCCAGTCATTTAAGCTTAAATTAGGTAAGAATCTCGGAATTCGAGATACCCAGCTGTAAGTCTGTAAATACTTGTATATTGACACCCTAAAAGTTGTCTCAAAACCTACATATGGTATTCATAATTTATTTGTTTTTTTTTTCATCATGTAAGAAGTTATTAATATTAATTAGGTTAAAATTCAAATATAATTCCTATATTTTCATTAACAATTCTGCAATTACATGGGCAGGTAAGTGTTGTTAAATAAATTAATACTGAATAAAAAGTGGATAAGTTAGGAAAAAAATGATAAAATATAATATAATAGTTAATAAAAATTGACAAATATTTATAATCATTGATTTATCGAAAATTCATCAACCATATATGGCGCGTTTTCGATCGGAGGCACCGGTTGACCTGAAGTGATACTGTGACCGCGCGCTCTCCGCCCTCTATCTCGAAAACGGTTCACCGTATAAAAAAAAAATTTAAGCAAAATTTGTAGAGAATTTTGTATTCTACAATATTGATAATGAATACAAATAGCAGAAACCCATAGGAAATGAGATATTTCCAAAAAAAGCGCAATAAACCGATTTTTGGGACTTTTGACCTTGAAATTTAATAGTTGCTTACACCCTACCATATGTAGGTTTTGAGACAACTTTTAGGGTGTCAATATACAAGTATTTACAGATTTACAGCTGGGTATCTCGAATTCCGAGGTGAACTTACTATAATGACTGGACTAATATAAGATATTGAGTCAGTAACTTTGTTTTGCTGTTATTAACCCTAGATAGTAGGCCAAAACCTCCTTTCTAAGGAGAGGCTTATGTCCAGCAGTGGACTATTAAAGGCTGTTGATGATGGTGATGAACCCTAGATGAACCTACGTCGAATCGACGTAATCGATTTTGAAAAATCGATACATCTCGTTTGTTTTTCGCGTCACTAAACTGGCCCTTCCTGCCAACTCAGTCGGCCGTCAGAGCTTGCAGGACACACCCGTATCGCTCCGATAAGTGTAACACTTTCGTAAATATTTACCTACCGTACGTCGAAGTGACGTATGGTTATCTTTAGTGCCAGTTTTGGGCAAATGTGTTATTGCGACTTTTTTGATATTAAATGTGCATATTTTTTATTAGTCTTTTTACTTGTTATAGGCTACGATAAAAAATAAATACGACGTCACAAATTCATGTAAACGATGCAAAAATCAGTCGGTTATTGCGTGAAACGAGTGATGAAGAGATTCAGGGGTCGGAAAGTGAACTGAAGACAATTTATTAGAAGATAAAGTACAGAGTGATGCCGAAGACTATGAGGTGAGTGCTCCACCAGTGGTTTCTGAAGATGTGTCTACTGGACCTTGAAAGTTTTGAAACTGCTTCGCGAAGTGTGCCGAGTTATATTATCATGCCACAGCGTCAAATTCTTAGAGGCAAAAACGATCATCGTTGAACGGCCACTAAAGGCAGAACAAGTGGCAGAGTATCATCTGCTAATATTATACGGACATCAAGGGGTCCCACTCGGATGAATAAATGCCTTTATGAGCCTTTAGAATGTTTTAGTATATTTATTACTGATGACATTGTGGAGGAGTTAACAACATGGACCAACGCTGAAATCCAGCTGAAGATTCAAAGATCTGATGTAAAAGTCACATTTAAAACTACTAATTGTGAAGAAATTCGGGCTCTTTTTGGCATACTGACATTAACAGATGCTATGAAAGATAATCATTTGACCACTGATGAGTTATTTGATTGTTCGTATTCAGGAAACAGATATATTGCTGCCATGAGTAGAGATAGATTCCATTTTTTGATAACGTGTTTGAGAATGGACGACAAATCTTTGCGGCCTGAACTATGGGCTACTGATACATTTGTACCAATCTGAAAAATATGGGAGATCTTTATAAACCACTGCCGATCTAATTATATTCCCGGACCTTATGTGACCATCGACGAACAGCTATTGGGTTTCCAGGGTCGGTGCCCTTTTCGGATGTACATTCCTAACAAACCCAATAAATGCGGACTGAAAATTGTAATGACATGTGACAGTGCTACGCGATACATGATTGATGCTGTGCCGTATCTAGGCAAATGAACCCAAATCAATGGCTTACCACTCGGTGAATTTTACGTGAAAGAACTTACAAAAGCAATTCATGGCAGTAATAGAAATGTCACATGTGATAATTGGTTTACATCAGTTCCATTAGCAAAAAACTTGCTAAGGCAGCCATACAACGTGACCTTGGTCGGCACTATTAGGTCGAACAAACGGGAAATACCTGAAGAGCTGAAAAATATGCATTCCAGGCGAGTAGGAACATCCATGTTCTGTTATGATGGGCCGTTGACGTTAGTGTCGTACAAACCAAAACCGAGCAAAATGGTATTTGTTCTATCAACGTGTGATGAAGAGGGCACTGTTCATCCTACGACCGGCAAGCCAAATATGATTCATTTTTATAATGAATCAAAAGGAAGAGTCGACACTTTCGACCAGATGTGCTCGTCAATGTCGTGCAGCCGCAAAACAAACAGGTGGCCCATGGCTATGTTTTATGGGATCTTGAATATGGCATTTATAAACGCATACATTATTTACTGTGATAATGTCATATCCAAGAAAGAAAAACCGCTGGGACGTAGAGATTTCATGAAAAAACTCAGCAATAGCTTGATGATCCCATGGATGGAGACAAGACAGCAAATGCTTACTTTGCCGACGAATATAAAAGAAAAAATTGATGGTATATTGCCAAAAAGACAAGCCGAACCTCTCACAGAACGTGAAGGGGTACCTGAGCCAAAGAAAAGAAAATATTGTACCTTTTGTCCATCAAAAATTAGAAGGATGACAAAGACAATGTGCGACAGCTGCAAGAATCCCATTTGTGGAGAGCACAAGTCCAGCGCCTGTCCTAAGTGCATTTGAGACCAAAATTTATAAAAAGTGATGCTTACTTATATTTTTTATATTATAGAGATTAACAAAGAGATGATTTTGAAAAGTTTAAATATTAAATAATAAGACTGACGGAGAGATTCTTAAATGTTGAAGTTTTGTAAAGAGATAAGGACCTTGTTTGTCCTTTATCTTTTTTATAATAAAAATATGAATAAACTCTTATGTTTTTCATTAACTTAGTACACAATTATAATATATACATGAACACATAATATCACATTCATAAACCTAGTATTTACTTAATCCAAAATATACTCACTCAAACATTCGCACGTCGAGTCGACGTATGGTTATCTTTAGTGTAGAGTGAAATATGGTTATCTAGGGTTAACAAATCAAGTCACATGTAAAAAAGAGATTGTACATGAAAAATGACAAGTGTTTAATTTGTTAAATTACGTTGTATAGTTAAACTTATTTCAAGATTTATTTTGTATTAGGGTTATTATTACAGTTTCATTTTTATTTTTAATCGTTTCAGACTAAAATGTCGGGAAAGATAAAAATAATCGATTTGGCAGTACTTCGACAAAGTATCAGTTATACATCAAAAGCTGTTTGCAAGATATGTAGCAAGTCCTATTCGTTAGGACGCCACGACCACAAAACAAACATTACACGGACTGAAGCTGCATTTATCAATATTTCATGACAATGAATATAGGCAAGTACTTAAAACCGTTTATCAGAATTAAACGATTTTCAAAAGTGAAGCAAAATTGAAGCGAACAGACTTAAGCGTATCATTGCAACAATCGAGCTCAGATCAGTCGACTCAGACAAACCGTTCCAAGTTGACCTCTAAACCTAAAGTTGTACTATGGCCTGATGATTACGAAATTACAAAAAAGGATTGACAAAACTATAATGGATCTCATAATCGTGGACATGCCGCCTTATACTTTGATGGAAGGTGAAGCATTCCGGCGACTTAATTTATGTGATCCCCAAGGAGTTCGCAAATATCGGTTGAAATCTGAAAAATATTTTAGAACGTCACTTATGCCCAAAACATATGAAAGAATTAGATCGAAAGTACAGGATTTAATGGCACAGAGTAAGTGGGCGAGTGCTACTACCGACATTTGGACCAACGCATATAAAACATGTTCACTTCTCAGTTTCACAGCTCATTTCATCATAAATTATAAACGTTTTAAAGTGATTTTAGGTGCATGTGTGCTAGAACAAGACCATTATATCGAACAAAAATTTACAGATACAGTAAACGAATAGGGTTTACAAGGCAAGATTTTTCTAGTCCTACGTGACAATGCCGCTACGGCATAATGCACGGATACGGATCTCCCTTCTCACTTGGATATCCGCGGATACGGATATCCGGCACATCACTAAAAGAGATACATCCCATCTGAAGAAGATATGTCTGATTGTTTGTATGGTAAGTAGGAATACAATACATAGTACTATTTTTTATACTGTTTTAATAAATTGTTTATTTCGTGTTGCAGGCAAATCTATAAGTGATTTTGTTTCTGTCAATAGCACAAATTTATTTTCTCGAATGAAAATTAATGAGAATTTCCTCCAGAAACCTGTTTCTACATGGGATGAAGATGTTGCCTATTTAGAGGCAAAATGATAAGTGCTTTCTTTAACCCGGTGGGAGTGTGGTGAGGTGTACCATACCCCACCATTTTTTTTTTTACTGGCGTACATTTTTATTATTGTCGGCTGAGAGTAACTGGAGCTCAGGTAATGCGGGGGGGGGGGGGGGGGGGGGGGTCGGTGGCGTGATCGCAGTGTGGCGTCAGCTGGCGTTTGAGATACACATGAGTATACGTGCGGTGTCACTTACCCCGCCACTTAGTTTACGTGTGCATTTAATCAAAACACTATTTACTATTAATGTCAAATAATATTTAATATTTACATAATTTATTATTTTTTGTCTTTTTTAGGCTTTTGAGAAACATGGGTGAAAACAGTAGGGAAAATAGACCTAGGTCTATGTTATACGACATATTAGAAAATGATGAAGATGAATCGAGCTAGTCGGATGTGTCTGATCATTGCAGTGAACACAATATAGAATCCGATACGGAACAGGAACTAAATGTTGAGAGTGGTAGTGATCAAGATTCCGACGATAATGTCCCTCTTTCAATTTTCAGAACTCGTCGCCCATCTACTCAAGCACCTTGTGGCGACTCCCGCATACAAAGAAACAGAAACATACTACAGCGCCATCTAATGAAGACACACCGAACTACGGAGTAACTACTAAAATAAGAATTGCTAATCCTGTATCGCGATATAAAGAATTCCCTCGCCGATTAGCATATATACAACTTCCCAACATCAACCGTTGGGCCGCGGCCCGCCAGGCATGATCACCTCGCCTGGTCGGAGGATCCTCCCTTTGTGTTGGAGGGACATGACACCCGTTCCTCCACAACCTCATTACAAATCTAAAGATGGTCAAATATGGTACAAGCATGTGCCACGTACTAATGTAAGAACACGGTCTGAAAATATAATCCGTCAACGCCCTGAAGTGAAAGGATTAGCTAAAAATGCAAAAACTGAAGAATGCTGTTATTTTGATTTTGATACACACAAATTAAGAGATCTTGAGACGACAGGCAATTTGAAAAGAGCCCAAAACCTTATATTACATGAAAGAAACGACATCTACCGAACTTGATGCATTTATTGGCTTATTGTACATTGCTGGTCTGAACAAATCGAGCCGGTAAAGTCTGAAAGACTTGTGGAGGACTGATGGAACAGGAGTTGATATATTTCGAACGACGATGTCATTACAACGGTTTTATTTTCTACAAAATTGTATTCGCTTTGACGACAAATCTTCAAGGGATGATCGAAAGAAAGTCGACAATATGACTCATATTAGAACGTTCTTTGACCAATTTATTCGATGATGCCAAGAAGCTTATATACCACATGAATACATTACAATTGATGAGATGCTGTTAGCGTTTAGAGGACGGTGCCCTTTCCTTTAGCATATAATGCTAAACAAACCAGCGAAGAATGGAATCCAATTTCTAGTACTCGTAGATGCCAAAAGTTTCTACATTTTCAATTTAGAAGTTTATGCGGGGAAGCAACCTGCTGAGCCGTATGCTCTCAGCAACAGCGCTTTTTCTGTAGTGGAAAGACTGATAATGCCTATATTTAAAACTAACAGGAAAATGACATTTGATAACTGGTTTACCAGTGATGAATTGATGATGCATCTACTAACTGAGGATAGACTTACTTCTACCGGAACAGTTTATAAAAACAAAAGATGCATACCATCTGCATTTTTGAAGACTGGAAAAGAGCCAGGAACAATGTTTGGCTTTCAAAAGGATATTTCTTTGGTCTCTTACGCTCCGAACAAGAATAAAGTGGTAGTTGTAATGTCCACCCTTCATCAGGACGACAAGATCGATGAGAGTACTGGGGATCAGAAAAAGCCGGAAATGATTACATTCTACAATTCAACTAAAGCTGGAGTAGACGTTGTCGACGAATAGAGCGCAACTTATAATGTGTCCCGTAATAGCAAGCGTTGGCCAATGACGAACTTTTATGGAGTTCTCAACATGGCTGCTATCAATGCAAACATAATATTTCAAGAAAATGCAGGCAAAACTACTAAACATGCGGCATTTCTTCGTAATTTAGGACTAAGTTTGATCAAAAAAATATTCCCATAAATATACGTCACAGAATATCTTCCCAACTCAATGAACCATTGCAACCAGTTGTCCAGAATGCTCCAGGGCGTTATGTTCGATGTGTTCACTGTACACGCGGCAAATATCGTAAAACAAACCACGTATGTGTAAGCTGTGGAAAGGCCATTTGTCTGGAACACCCAATTTATTCCTGCAAAGACTGCTAATGCTGAATCTAGTTCTTAATGATAACTTTAGATATTTTTTTTCGTTCGTTCGTTTTTTTTATTCAAGATCTCATGTTCTTTATGTTTTTTAGAGTTTTTATTTTGTTTAATTTGGTAATATTGGTTTAGTTAAAAAGGATTGATGCCTCTTATGCCTCTTCTGTTTTGATTTGAAACCAAAAATTAGTACCTTAACTTTGGTAATAAAAACTATTAAAATATATTAATATGACTAAGTTTTTCATTTAAATATAAGTATAGGGATTGTGTTTTAATAAATAAAATTAAAAATCATTTAAATTTGATTATTATAATCATATAGAAGCAGTTTAATTTACGGGCATGTCATGCCCCGCCACATACTCGATGAAATATTTTGTCACCACACTCCCGCTAGGTTAAGGGCAGTGAAAGATACAGCTGAAAGAGCTGTAAAGCTTATGTAAGATTATCATGGTTTGACCACTGCAAAGGAAGAGCAAAAGCAATTTTTGCTACACTGTGTTCAGAAGCATATAAATCTGTATCCAGATTCTAAAAATAATTCCTACCTGAGCTGTAATTATATCTTCTTTTAATAAATATTTTATAAAATTTAAATATTTCAACAAAAACAGCAATCTTCAAAATCGGCACGGGTTAATGTTGACGTAGGAAGATAAAATTTTGTATTTAAGTAAGTCTGGGTAGTTTAAAAAGAAATAAGGCGTATGAATTTCAATATCTAAAAAGAATACTTTTTTACTCATATAAGGGACATTCTAATGTATATACATAATTTTACTTACAGTCACAACTTGTACAAACCACAACAGTAGATTGTTAACATATATACCTAGTATCTTCTAAACTGTTTTTTGAACTTCTCATAGTGATAATCATCTGTAGCCCTTTCACCTTTAGCCTTCTTAACTAATTTATTTACACTTTCATCTATAACATTAGTCTCAGTTTTAACAGGTTCAACCTTTTCAACTTTCCTTTTCTTTGAATTGTCACCATCTATGTTAAATCTATTATGCTGAACAAAATTAACTGCCATGTTAGTGGGTACAAATTGTGAAGGGCAGTCTTTTTTATTGTGCCTCTCCCACATGAGTTTCATTTTTGCTTCTTCTGTAGCTTCAATATTTTTAATTTTTGCATCTATCCCTAAGTCTACCTCAGGTATGCCACTAAGCATCTGATTTGATAACATCTCCTCAGATCTGTGTGTTGATGACACTCTTAAATGTTCAGGTAAGGATAGTAAAGCAGCTTCTTCTGGTGATAAATATTTCAATGAATCGTTGTGGTCAGGGTCGTTTGTGTTTTTACTATGTCCCTCTGTAACAAAGAAAAAGTTTACATTTAATTATTTTATTTAAGCACCTTTGAGTAGCAAATGAATCAAATGAATTAACACAATATAAAAACATTAAAAAGAGCTGTGTTTTGAAAATCTGATTACAGTGTTTTTATCTATTTATTGACAGGAAGCAGCATCTTACTTCGTCAATGTCTGTGTGATGACGGATAAAGAATTTGGAGTATCTTCACATCTATTCATCCCATGGCTGTCATAAGTAAAAGCCGATGCAAACTACACTGGACAACTGCACTGCAAAGAGGAAACTTACAACAAACCCTATACCAACTCATCTGGCCAGTAGTAGACTGTTATAGGCTGTTGATGATGATGAGTGACTTAATTAATGGTATAATAGAATATATTCCTAAAATATGACATTATTTATAATTATAGTAAATAATTTCATATTTAGGTCACAGTCAGTTAAAATTAAGAATTAGGTATGTTATGACACAATTAACTGGTTTGCAAACTACACCAATGAAAGCATTTGAATAATATGAAATAACTAATTTGTAAATAAGAAAAGGTTTTAAATCTATGCAGAATGCAACAGGAGTTCCTCGTACACTAATGATTATGAAATGAGCAGGCAACTTTCTATTATGCAGGTTTTGTACTAGTACTCAACATTTAAAACCATTAATATCAAATACCACACCAATACCTAAAGCAGAGCAGATCATAAGTTTTAATTGCAATAAAAAATAAGTTCTATGAGAACTTAATAAAAAAATTGTATTAAGAGTTTTATGTAGTAAATTGTCATTTCAGAATGCAATCCTTCTTCAGTTACATAAAAAAATTATTGTCAAAAACATTTGATTATTTAAACTAGCTTTCCTAAATCTTGGCAGTCTTTTCTCCTATGGAAACAAGAAACTATGTTTTTGAGGAGAGATTAATTTATTTACTTTTTACTAAATATAAAAATTTAATACACAAAAAATTCAAAATCTTTAATTAAATAATAAAATACATATAAACACTACAATTTTATACCGAGATCTTATTACAGTCATCCATCATCATCAACAGCCTTTAATAGTCCACTGCTGGACATAAGCCTCTCCTTAGAAAGGAGGTTTTGGCCTACTATACCACGCTGGCCAGACGGGTTGGTATAGGGTTTGTGTCTAGTTTTCCTTCTCCCTGCAGTGTTGTTGTTCTGCATAGTTTTTTCCCTTAGTTGACTCTTACAACACCCACGGGATGAATAGGGGTGGTGACAATCTGTATTCTTAATCCATCACCACACGGACAGTATCCTAAGCTGACCTTAATTGCCTATATCTGTACCTTACCATGTAATTTAAGATGAGAGGCTCAACTTTCCTTTTCCGTACATCCAGTTTGGGCTTGAAATTTTTTTTCCACAAATGTTACACTATGAGTACAAAATATAATTATTTACGTAAATTTATGTAAAATAAAATGTTACGGAACGTATGACAACTTAACCATAGATGAAACGAAACGTTTCGTGATGACAATTTTATATAATCTTTGGTAAAGCTTGTCATTAATAGTGTAATATTGACAGAAGAATTGCAAAAATAATTGATTTTCAATATTTTTTTGTTCAAAAATTACGCGTCTCCACGTGTTGAAACTTTTACGTGTGTGCTTATAATAGTCTAACATATCCGGAAAAAAAAACTCAACCCAAAAATCGATGTACGGAAAAAAAAAGTTTAGCCCCATGCTCTGTTAACATGTAACAATGCAACTAATAAAATTGATTAAGGATTTAAAAAGTATATGTAAATAAATCAAACCTTTTCGTTTAGCTAATTGCTCCTCAATGTACTTCATCATTTCTTCATCCTCATCCCGTTTATTGGTTTCCGCAGAAAATTGTGTACCAATTCCTGTGTCATAAGCATCATCAACTTGCTTTATAGTGCCACTTTTCAATGCTTGCATGTTTATCATTCCACCAGATTTTACTTTAAATGGGTCCTTACAAGTAATTTCTTCTTCTAATGTGGTCTTCTGTCCCGTAGCAAGCGTAACAACACTAACGCCGTTAGGTCTTTCACGAAGTTTCTGTATTACTTTTGCTTCTTCTAATTTGGCTAAAATATACTCTTCATCACCTGAATCTTCGTCATCCTTAATTCTTTGACGAAGGTTCTTTCTTTTTTTGGGTTTAAATTTGATTTCTTCAAATTCATTGGTCTTACAACCCTCATCGGAGTTGTCCATCGTTTCGACTGTGAATAACTTATAATTTCACAAATCAATTATGGAATAGAACAACTGATAAAATGAAGACTTTAAAGAACACAAATCAAAATTGGAAATCTACATTCAGATATTGAACTAAACTATAATACTGTTTGTAGTATTTGTACCTACTGTACTTAATATTGTTTTCCAACGTGACATAAGTAATTTATAAATTTAATGAACTCAACGTCATGGATGTCTTTACTCTGTATTGTTTTTTTTTTTTTTTTGTATTTTTATGGCTTGGTAACAAGATACTCTGTATTGTCTGTGATGTCCAGTGTTGCCAGGGCATTTGAGTCATAAATTGCGTTTCGTTCCCTTAAATGTTACATTTTTGCTGCAAAAGTTACATTATTGCTTTTTTTTATTTTTAAAACTTTTTCAATTTTTATTTAAGTACCTATATAAATAACGTAGTGTTTAATTTTTTTGTTAAAAAATAATTTCGGCATATTTATATTTATTCGGCATATTTCGAAAAAACATCGTTTTTTCGAAAAATAAAGCGTGGGGTGCTTTTCAAGGTATATTATAAAATAATAATTTTACTTTTACCAATATCTGTCACTAAAATATTTTTACAACAATTGATTAAATTATTTTTCCTTTTGAACTCATAGAATATTATTTCCTACTTTTTAGTTCGCCTAGCTATTATTAATACAATTTATTCTAACCAAGTAGCAAAATCAGGTTTTAATGCAATCACATCACGTTTCATTTTAAATTTGTTCCATTCAGAGCCGAGCGGAGATATGGAGTGAAAGACTTAGTACTTACTTAATAATTTTAGACGCGTCAGTTTTAGGTTCGTTCAATTTTGAATGCATTCGTAAACTGTTTGCAATAAAAATATAATAGTACTAACCTCGTTATTCTCAAACTGACGGACGGACACTGGCACGGACGTGGCAACACTGGTGATGTCAACCATCTTCGATGTTGTCAGGAATGATCGTAGGTGTTAAAAAGCCTACTAATGGAGTAAACTACACTGCAATGAGAAGAAAAACTTGACACAAACCCTATACCAGCCTGTCTGGCCAGCGTGATATAGTAATCCAAAACCTCCTTAAACTAAGGAAAGGCCTATGGCCAGCAGTGGACTATTAAAGGCTGTTGATGTGATGATGTGACATATTACATACATGTGACAGCACATACGGCGTAGTGTAGTACTACAGCGCAGTAGGAAGAGTCGGGGTTATCCCAACACTTCCTACTTTTACATGTACAAAGTACATTTTCTTGCTAATTACTTTACAATCGGTAATTTTACTACATCAGAAAAACTTAGCATGAATAATATTTAGCCCATTTAATAAAAGTGTCGAAACCAAAAAGTGTTTTGCTAGGTTCAACTTTTATTAGCCCGACTTTAATTTTCTACTTCGTTTCTAATTTCGTCTGGCAATACTGGTAGAATTGGAGACCCGGCAAAGGTCAATCAAGATAAATAAACACTTTTCTTGATTTTGATTTAATTGATTATTAGTTACTGTTACTAGAAGTGAAGTTGTAATAGTGTTAAAATAATTGTTTGACTACTCAAACTATACTTAACATTTTAATATTTTTTATTTATATAATAGTTATAAACATGTCAAAAGTTCTTTTTTTACAATCTCCACCGCCAAAATTTGAAGAGATACAGAAAGCAATATTTAGTAATGGAGCTGTAGAGTTTTTAAGCAAGCTACATGAAAAATTCGATGAGAGCATCGAACAATTATACAAAGAGCGGCTGCAACGTACAGCGACAACGAAAGTAATTTCGACTTTGGACTTTAAGAATTCATTTGAAAGAAATGATAAGACCTGGAAGATAGCTCCTTTGCCTCCAAGACTGCAGTAAGTATTTAACGTAAAGTGGATTTGCTGAACAGCTTGATAATAATGATTATGCTCATTACATGAACATACGTACATAAAAATACACTAAAAAATTAAAAGTTACTGTATAAAGAATGTTAACATTGCTTATGTACTGGTCAGTCTCTTTTGAGTGCAGGTCTTGATTCACCAGTATGAGTTATAGAAAAAATAATAGCTCTGCTGCAAAATGCTGATAATAATTAATTGTTTTCATAGAAACCGCCACCTAGACTTGGGAGATGTGTCAGCATCAAACACAGCTCATTTTGTGTCCTCCCTTACTGAAGATGTTCAAGGCATCCAAGTGGATTTTGATGATGGACATTGTCCAACCTGGAGAAACCAGCTTCAAGCATATCAAAACATTTGGTTAGTCGTCAATGGTCGCCTCCAAGGTGCTCCTGTTACGATAACTACATGTCCAGTATTAATGTTGAGACCAAGAGCTTGGAATATTATTGAACATAATATTTTGGTATGTGATTATGTTAACTTTATTTTCTATCCCTTTCATGCTTATTGAAAATAGATGAGTAAAAATAGCTATTATCAAGAGTGTGCCACTCCCTCACATTTGACTTTAGCAAATTGTTAAGTAGAAGCAAAACTGTCACCAAGTTAAAGTCCTTACTTAACATCCTAAGTTAGCCCACACTTCTAGATATCTACAAAACCTTAATTCGCAAACCTTGCCTACCATTTCGCCATTAGATTTGTATTGCTTTCATGGCACGGCATGAATGCACACTTATTTAAATTGTAGATAATGACTTAGTTAACAATAGATGCATTATTTCATCACGAATTCCTGTCACTATTACAATTGTATATTAATTTAGTCAAAACATTAGGAATAGTATGTTTTTAGTTTTTACACTGGTAATTATTTCGGGGATGTCTTGCTAGTATCAGAAAACTGGTGGTAAGTACGTCTTTTGTTGCTGTTCACCCATTGCGTGAGAATACCGGAGCCCAAAAGCTCCCACTGTCCTGTCCCATATTCTGGGGTTAGATACTGAAAGCGCGCCAAAGCACTTTCTTTTTTCTTTTTTTTTAAAGACAACTCCCACACTAGGAATAAATCCTGTGTCGTGGGGGACTTTACAAACATACATGAAACAGACACAAAGAATACCCAGACTCAGAACAACAATTTGTGGATCACACAAAGTGTTGTTCCATGTGGTGATCGAACCCACAACACTCAGCACAGTAGGAAGCGGCGAGGTGACCGCTTAAACTACTACGCCATCCATGCAGTCAACCATGCACGACCATCCATGCACTTGTGACTCGTGAGCGGTAGTCACTTACCATCAGGTGACCGGTTTGCTCGTTTGCCACCCCTATTCCATAAAAAAACACATAAGTAGTCACAAGGATCGCCGACAGAAGTGAAAACTCAAAACAATGCAACTACGCGCGCTAGTCGGGCGCAATACGTCACGAGTTGACATGGAAATTATTGCTACTTTTAAAACAATCAAAATTCTTTTCATCGAAGATTATGACCTTTTTTTTAGGTTTTGACCTTTCGCGAGTCTTGCGATAGCAATAATTAAGTAGCAGTGGTTTTGTAAATCAGTCGCAGGTGTGTCACAATCACATGATTTATCACATGCGATTGTGATTTTATTCCATCCCTAGTCGAGGTCACCGTAAGTTCCGTATCCGTAAGTTTTCCCCTACAAAAATCGCCCGACGCGTCTAAAGTAGTTTTCACTTCAAAGAGTTATGAGCCTGATCGAATGGGAAAGAAAAACACGCTTTTTTTTAAACGTTTAAATATTTTTTGGCTTTGGTTCTCTTGTAGATAAATGGCAAAGAAGCTATTGGTCCATTGGTGGATTTTGCGATATTGATGTATCATAATGCAAAGAAACTTCACGAGGCCAACAGTGGTCCTTACTTCTACTTATCCAAATTGGAAGGTGCATCTGAGGCGCGGCTCTGGAACGATATCTTCACCTGGGCTCAAGAAGAACTTGGTTTGCCCCAGGGAACAATAAAGGCTTGTGTTCTTATTGAGAATGTAATATCCAGTTTTGAACTTGACGAAATTTTATACGCGCTAAGAGAACATTCTTTGGGCCTGAATTGTGGAATTTGGGATTACTGTGCCTCGATCATATCTAAGTTTGGTAGGTATCTTATTTCTTCCTTTAAAAGACTACTTCGGCGCTAAGATTATCCTGCATTGCGGGGACTTCACAAACATTCCTTCCTCAATAACTGACATACTGGCACACATCAAAACAATGTTGTAGTATCTATATTTAATGATGTATCTATCTGCAATTAAAAAAGAGTGGCCGGGAGTTTGTTTGCCCTTTCTTCTTCAATCCCTTAGAAAGGGAGCGGTTGTAGATCGGCACAGGCATATAATGGATTGGATTAATTTTGCTCAATATTTGATAAAGCAGAGATTGTTGCTATTGTGTGTGTTGATCTATAACTAGAGTGTCTACATAAAAGACGATGTAATTTTTTTGTGAAGTAACTATATTTTGAATTTGATTCATATAAGGAACACAAAGAACACCCAGTCTCAATACAACAATTCGTGGATCACACAAAGTGTTATCCTATGTGGGAATCGAACTCACAACACTTAGCGCAGTAGGAAGCAGCAAGGTGACCATTAAAACCACCACACTCTCTCATCATCTATCTAAAGAATTTGAAGTGTCTATAATATCATAATAACAGCTTTTTATCAACCCGTCTGGTATAGTAGGCCAAATCATCCTTTCTAAGGCTCTCCTAAGGCGTTGATGATAATGATTTTGGGGACTTTTTAGTACTTTTTTTTTAATTTAATCATTTGAGTCGGTCTTTTTGGTAAAATTTTACGTCATTTATGTTTAAACCTTTATTCGACAAATTTATTTATTGCAAACCAAGTGTTTTACGATATCTAATAATGGCAGTTGAACCGTCATTTAATTATAAATCATCAATTTACCTGAAAGCTAGTAATGGTATAAAGTAATTTAATGCTTATTAGAATGCCAATCGCAAATCTAAATAATTAATTAGATTTTTCTGTTGTGAAGGTCATTAGAACATTTAACAAGCATCTAAGTAATATTTTTCTTTAGTAAACGTTATTTTGCATAATATCCATTTGCATGATGCAAAGTATATATTTAATTAACAGAATTAAATACATTAAGGCCGGTAATTCTGACAATGTTGATATATACTGTAAGAGCCCGAACTACGATAAATTCTAAGAAATACCGGTAAAACCTAAGTACTTACTCGTTGGTAAAGAGTTATGGTAAAAGTCCGAATTTAGAGCATTTACCACATAAGATTTACTTCAAATACACGGTAAATGTCGATAAACAGACATGTTTCACCAAAAATAGACTGAATCTGGCGCTAGGCTGCCGCTGGCCCGCTCACCTTCGCGTTTTAATGGTCACTGTTCTAACCTAACCTAAACCAGATTTAATTTTTAAGTTCTTATTGTTTTCTTCCAAAACGAACATTTACCAATCGCTTCTGGTAAAACCTAGCATGTACCAGTTTCGAATGGTATAAGTCCGAATTTTCCCTTTTTATTAATACTTTGCTACATTTCATCCGGTGGGTGTCGTAAGAGCCGACTAAGGGAGATAACTACGCAAAACAGCACAGAAAGAAAATTCCAAACAAACCCTTTACCAACCTATCTGGCCAGCGTCGTATTGTAGGCCAAAACCTCCTTTCTAAAGAGAGGCCTATTTCCAGCAGTGAACTGTTAAAGGCTGAAATCATCAATTTCAATGGGACTAAACGGGAAGTATACCGTCTCAAATAAACAATGTTTTTTTTTTAAACCGGTCCAAAAATAACATTTTGACATAGCAAACAAAAGAAACGAATAAAAAATGCAATAAATTAAATAAAAAGGGAAGTACATTCTTAAGGTACCTCCTCTTTTTTTTTTAAATTGATTAACAATGATATATGAATTTAAAGTTAGTTAATGTTGATTAAATAACATGATACCTGATATATCTACTTTTCTCCAGGTGATCGAGAAAATTTCTTGCTGCCTGATAGGAATAAATACGTGAATACGGAACGCCATTTCTTAAACAGTTATTTGAGGCTGGTGGTGAGTACGTGCCATGCGAGGGATGCTCCGGCCACTGGAGGTATGGCAGCAGCAATGCTCAAACCTGGCACCGATGGTACTGACAAACAGTAAGTTATTGTTTAACTATCGTGGTATTGCCTCACACAAGGCAGTACGATCTAAAATGGTTACTGGACTACTGATAAACATACTTAAATATTTCTAAATACATACATCACATCAACAGCCTTCAACAGTCTACTACTGGACATAAGCCTCTCCTTAGAAAGGAGTTTGGTCTACTACACCACGCTGGCCAGACGGGTTTGTGTCAAGTTTCCCTTCTTTCTGCAGTGCTGTTGTTCTAAGTAGTTTTATCCCTTAGTCTGCTCTTACGACACCTACGGGATGAATAGGGGGTAGTGACACTCTGTATTCTTAATCCGACTCCATACATACATATTATAGGTAAATTGACACACACAGAACAAATGATCACGCTCATCACACGATTATTTGTCCTGGGAATCGAACCCAATACCTCTGGCTTAGCAGTCAGGGTCACTAACCACCTGACCAACTGTCCCGTCAATATAATGGTAGATCTTTAAGTTTGGGTTTGTTGCAGTTCCAAAACTATTATAACAAATATTCTGCAAAGTAAGATGAAGGAGATAGAGCTGGGCGTGGATGGATTCATGGTTTACGACGCTAGAGTAGTGCCGCATGTAAACGAGGTTTGTAGTTAGTACTACTATTTTTCTAAAGTCCCACCCCCATCCATACCCATATCAAATAAGATAGGATCCTATAATCCAAGCATAAATAAAAACTGTTGCAAAAACGGGGAAAAATTATCCCTAGCTAGTTACAGCTAGTTATGTCAGCTAGTTAAAAACTATATTTAAACAATAACTATAGTTTACTTCTGCAATAAAATTTATATAAAATGTGTTTGGTCCTTTCAAAAACACGTAAACAATATAATTACTTTGTTTTTTTGTTACGTAATTTACAATAAAATACAAACAAGTCTTTGTAAGTAAATTAAGTTTTTATTTACCATAAAGCGGTAAATCGAGATAAGGTTGTGCAAAAAACAGGTTCGCTATCGACTTTTTATGTGAGCATTAAAAAAGAAATTAAACTCAACTAAGGTTTCCTGTATTCTCGTTATATATTTATTTAAAAGTTAAATAGTTTTGTTTACGCTGTAACCTCTAAATTAGATATTGAGAGATCAATAACTAAGACGCCAAAAGTACTATTAGACCAAGTCACTTAAAAATGTTGCATGACATTTTTAAGTGACTTGGTCTAATAGTACTAAAAAGGATTCAGGCTTTTATCCAAGCAAAAAATATAGTTCTTGAGGGATTGGAAAAATTATGCATAAAAACTACATTAACGTGTGAGCGGATCCGCGTTAAAAAGTCAATAAAGCTAGCATTTTATCCTGATGATTGTAATTTACCCAAAAAAAAGTTTTTAGGATTAATTTTACTACCCTTTTTTTCGGTGTGAAATCCCCTCGGATACCACTTACCGGTGGCAATGTCGGACTCGAACAGACTAAAACCGCACGCCGTCTCAGGTACCAGTAGTCGGGGAACCAGGTGTACCCTAGAGCGGAAATCCCTGGTGCCCCGACGTGCCTCGGGCCATCTACGGCGCCCCCCCCCCCCCCCCCTATGTGGGAACCTGTGTGTAATAAACATATATATCCCCATCTAAAAGTTCACTTTTCTAGTGCTAACAGTCCCTAAGCTAAAGGAGTACGGAGGAGTGGATGGCCGAACAGACAGACTAGACTAGAATTTATTGTTAGAACTACTAAGCCCTAACATTTATTTCCAAAAGTATTTTTTTTTCTATAATTCGTTACTTCATATTGATTATTTTTAACACTTTTGTATTAGTAATAAAAAAAAACAATAATTTCTTTGCACACAGCTTTGGAAGAAAAGTGGTGCAACACCAAATCAAATATGGAGAAAGTTCGAGGTGAACATAAAGCCGCAAGACCTGCTGTGTATACCACGCGACGGCGTCACCCTCCAGGGGTTGAAGCACAACGTGGCCATATCTATACTGTTCATCTACTACTGGCTGGCTGGCATCGGACACTTCTTCTACAGCGGTAACGTTGAGGATTCCGCTACCGCTGAAATATCCAGGTTCCAAATCTGGCAGTGGATTCGATTTGCGGTAATCTTTTATTTATTGTGCGTGTTCGATTTAATCCATTGTAATTGTGTACTCGCCGTTGGTTCCCTAATAAATAAATGAGGCCAGGGCTCAAAAACAGGTACAGCCATGTTAATTATATGGGTCATCAACAGCCTTTAATAGTCCACTACTGGACATAGGCCTCTCCTTAGACATGGAGGTTTTGGCCTACTATACCACGCTGGCCAGACGGGTTGGTATAGGGCTTGTGTCAAGTTTTCCTTCTTTCTGCAGTGCTGTTGTTCTGCGTAGTTCTTACGACACCCACGGGATGAATAGGGGTGGTGACACTCTGTATTCTTAATCCGTCACCACACGGAGTTGTATGGGTAAATCCTTCGATATAGAGGGTGTAATGTAAATGACTTCTGTTTTAAACTTGTCGGTACCGTTCCTTAATCAGGGGTTAATCCAGCTTTTGACTCATGACTATCCCTTTATTTACCTACTCGGAATCGTACGAACTAGACCCAGGCCAGAGGGAACCTCCCAAATCTTCTTTCTGTCTTCAAAATTATAAATTAAAAAATATAAATCACAGAAGGTATAATAAAATACCATATAACTATGTGTTGCCATTTAATTTCAGCCACCTCTTGAAGATGATCCTAAACAGAATGTCACAGCAAGTCTCGTCGAAAAAACTGCGTCTAGTTTCGCTGCTCATGCGCATAAGAACTTGTGTCGGTCAAATGCAGAACGCAAACGTTTGACTGCCGCGAGATACATGTGTATGGAACTGTTCCTGTCCAGGAACCCTCCGGAGTTCATCACCAGCTACCTTAACGACAACCACAAGTTCAGAACACTTCATAATAAAGCACTACTGAGTAACTTATAGAAATATTATTGGCCGTTTTTTTTATGATATAGGGAGGATTGGGGAGGCAAACAAGTAATTCGTTTTTTTTTAATGTAGGGGCGAACGAGTATACTGGTCACGCGATGGTAAGTGATTACCACCGCCCACTTGCGTTTCACAAGTGCATTCTTGCTCTTTTAGTTCCTCCCCCAGAATCAGGGAGAGGGGATGATGAGTAAGATCATAAGTTCTGTGTTTGGGTGTAATTTATCTATAATATGTTTATTTTCGGGCATTAGTTCGTAAGAAAAACCTTCCAACCGATAGTTACTCAGTTCATTCGTGATCATGGCGCAAAATAAATATGGTAAATATCATGTTTTTAATAATTTATCAAATGAAAATGATCATGGTGGCTTGAATCAATACAAGATATTAGAATTTTATACTTTTTGTTTATAAGATTAGGTAACTTGTATTTACTCCAAAGCAAATATACTAATTACTAGCTGGTACCCGCGACTTCATTCGCGTGGAATTTAGAAAGCGCTGTCTATGAGGCCTTGGGTTCGATGCCCGGACCGGGCAAAATTTTATAGGGTTTTTCTGACAGGACAAATAGCCTTAGTTGCTCCTTATATAGACAGCTACCTGGTTATAAAATATCAAAATCCGTCCAGCCGTTTTGACGATTACCCGGATCAAACAGACAGACAGACAAAAAATATTTAAACTGGATTTTAAGCGTGAGCATGAAAAATACCTATTATTTTGATTGACAAACAGACACTTCAATTATATTTATTTGTATAGATTAAATAAAAGATTATTTAGGTAAACAATTTAAGTACTGTATATTCTTATTCTGTGATATGACGTGATGCTTTGTACACTTAGAGGTTTATAAATGTTACAGATAATTATTGTTTGTTGGAAATATATTTATTACTAAAAATGTATGTTTTATTTCATGTCACAATCCACTACACGGGTGTATTATGTTTTGCCTGTCCAGACCTATAAGGATTGTTTTAGCTCATAATGATTTGAATATGTACCATTTCAATATCAAAATTTTTAAATGAGAGCAACGTTGTGCCATTTATAATTTGGTGCCGCTCACGATTGACGCACGCAAGAGTCGTCATAGAGGTCAGCCTTCAACTGGACTCCTTACAAATTATGGAAAGAGATATTAGCAATATATGAGACTAGCCGTGTGGTGACGGATTAAGAATACAGAGGGTCACCACCCCTATTCATCCCGTGGGTGTCGTAAGAAGCGACTAAGGGAGCAAACTACGCAGAACAACAGCACTACAGAGAGAAGGAAAACTTGAAACAAACCCTATACCAACCCGTCTGGCCAGCGTGGTATAGTAGGCCAAAACCTCCTTTCTAAGGAGAGGCCTATGTCCAGCAGTGGACTAGTAAAGGCTGTGGATGGATGATGAGACTAGCCTTTGCCCACAGCTCCGGCTTTGTGTATGTCTGTCATCGCGGTAAAAAGTTGCATAATGAACATAAAGAACGAAAATCAAAATAATAACAATATACCTCACACAACTCACATATGGCTCTCCATGCCAAATTTCATTAAAATCCATTGATCGATTTAGCCGTGAAAGCGTAACAGAGTTACTGTCGCATTTATAATATTAGAAGGGATTGCCCAGATTTATTTATTATATATATAATATATTAGCCTGTAGTAGTCCACTGCTGGACATATGCCTCTCCTTAAAAAGGAGGTTGTGGCCTACTATACCACGCTGGCCAGACGGGTTGGTACCTATAGGGTTTGTTTCAGGTTTTCCTTCTCTTTGCAGTGCTGTAGTCCTGCGTAGTTTGCTCCCTTAATCGGCTCTTAAGACACCAGTGGTATAAATAGGGGTGGAGAAACTCTGTATTCTCAATTCTTAAAGGCTTATGATGGATATAGGTATATATACATATATGTCTATCACCTTTTTTTTTTTTTTTTTTTCGTGCATGTCGGACTCGAACCGACTAAAACCGCACGCCGTCGCCGGGTACTAATAGCCGGGGAACCAGGTATACCCTAGAAAGGAAGTCCCTGGTGCCCCGACATACCTCGGGTCATCTACAGACGAGTAGACGACCCCCCCCCCCGTGTGGGAACCCCATGTTCCCTGTGCTCCCTGGAAGCGAGCGCGCTTCGCAACGCGCTCGCCGCCACCCCGGCCTGCTTCTGCTAGGGTGACAGATGGCCTCACCTATCACCCCCAGGCCTGTCACACCTGGCGGGCCGGGAGAGTTCTAAACCTCTCCCGGTCCCGCTCCGCCGTCTCCTTCGCGAGCATAACTTGCTCGCGGAAGGAGACGGCAGAGTTCCACGCACTCTCGCTCCGCACGATAGCCGCAATCAGGCTATAAGAATAACTCACAGTAACCATCTTGATCTTTTAAATATCACAAAAAATAATGGGTTATTTACGAAGCAATTGTAAGTAATACATTCTATTCCTAATTGGGAATCGAACCCACAATCTTTTGCTTACCAGTCATGATCGATAACCCCTAGGACTAGACCAAGGCCTTCAAACTAAATATCATCAATTAACATTACCGAGCGCTAAAGCCTTAAATGCAATGAAATTAAATGAAATAATTTTAAATCGGACGCTGTGTGCGAGATGTGCGACCAAAAATACGAAATTCAGTATTAACCATATTAAAATAATATGTATTTTAGATTTCAAAGTAAAATGAAGCTTGTTATTTTTCTCGATAATTATGAGTTTTAATTCTTATTGCATTTTAAAACAAACCCTATTTTTCAATTTTATGCCAATTTTTATAATTATAGATTTGGTTTAAAAATAGTTTTGTCAACAAATTAACATAATTATTTGAAATGGCTGCCCTATAAAGTTCAATAAATGTCAGATCCGACACTATTCTACGACTAATAACATAAAATAATTTTAAATCGGACGCCGCGGTGTGCGAGATGTGTGAAGTTATTATTAGTATTCTTACTCATAATGTATCACATCATCACATCAACGGCCTATAATAGTCCACTGCTGGACATAAGCCTCTCCTTAGCAAGGAGGTTTACTGTTCCCATATTCGACAATCCACAAATTGTTGTTCTGAGTCAGGGTGTTCGTTGTGTCCGTCTCATATATGTTTACAAAGTCCCCGCGACACAGGATATTTTCCTAATGGGGTTGTCTTTTTAAATATATAAATATTACTAATGATCACGTTTGTAACATTTTGAAACTTGATCAAACACAAGGTTAATTCATTAAGTGAAGTAGATTGTCATTATAAATACAGCAAATTTGACTAGTTCATCTGTTTGAAACTAGATGTCGCTGTACTAATAACGTTATTTTTATAAGTCGTAATTGAGATGTTTTAGTTAATACATAAATATGAACGTTTTATATTTTAATTTCTGACTTGGATTATTTTGACTAGCGTGTCCCATTTCCCAGAAATGGGACACGCTGCTCAAAAATATCTCAAGTCAAATATAAACACTTCTCACTTGCAACTGAATATAGTTGCTTACCTTACACGTGACGCCGCGACGGCCGTGAGTTGTGGCGGGTCCGTTGGTCTAGCAGTTGGTGAACCCCTGACTGACGCGGAGGTATTGGGTTGTTTGTTTATCTGTTGTCAGCCAAAAAAAATAATTTGTGTGATCAGGACGATCACTATTGTTCAATGCCGGGCTTAATGTATCTCTACTAATATTATAAAGCTGAGAGTACCACTGTTTTTCATTCTGGAGTAATTTTCTATAAGGCAATTATTTTAACGTAAATTTGCGATATCTCATCGTTTAACAAATACTTTTTTTTTAAATAAGTTAGTAAAAAGTTATGATTTAAATGGATTTTGTGGTACTTAATAATATTCCTTTTGAGACACAAGAGCTAAATAAATAATAATAAATTTCCTAATACGTACATATTGTAGATAAATTACACTCAAAAACATTACGCTCATCACACAATTATTTCTCCTGGGTGGGAATCGCAATATTCACTAACAAATAGACCCAAGAGGCCAGTGGCCACTATTTCGCTTTGTAAGTATAAATTTTCAGGTAGACGAATATTTTGATTCGCAGTTTCAAGGGAAGCTAGATTAGAGCTATTCAAAGATAGGATTTCAAAATCAAAAAAGAAAATACAATAATGTATTCAACATTTATAATTATCTCAAAAATATTTACTATATTAAATCTTATATCCGACATAATTATAGTGAAACACTGTACAAGCATAGTGATATACATTTATAATTTATTGTATTAGAAAAAAAATGTACAATAGTGTTAAAAGAGAAAAAGTACAGTTATACATGAGTTCTTAAGTATAAAAAAAGGTATAATTACCATAAGCTACTTGATATGAATTCCTTCTATATTCAAAGCAATATTCAGACAAAATTAATCATGTACCAATAAATTATGCTCAAATATTTTTAAAAAGACCAATGTAAGCAGATTTACGAGCTTCTAGAAAGCAAAGAAAGCCAGATTTATAAAAAAGTCACAATAATTTATGGTTTTACTTTCAAATAGTTTACTATACCGGAAGTACATGAAATTGAGAAACAAGGTTTAAACAGTTATAGTACTTCATCATCATCAGCCTATCGCAGTCCACTGCTGGACATAGGCCTCTCCCATTGCACGCCACTTAGATCGATTTTGGGCTTCTTCATTTTCCATTTTTTATAGTACTTACTACAGTTATAATCTTTGGCAATCAAATAAAAAAAACATTCTAAATTGTTGACCGTTTCAATTTTCAGATATTATCAGCTCCAATTCTTTTAAAACCAGATGGAAATTACCTGTATAGCCCCTTAGTTTTAAAGTTAAATTTACATAACTTTAGCATATCGTCATGGTCGGTTTTGATAAAAATAAGAAAAGTTGTTTTTACCATACTTGAATACTACTTTATCTAAATATTATTACTATATTCAAGAAAAATTATATGTATTTTTGCTTTTAAATTATTCAGTGTTTGTTTGATAGACGCTCAAAGTAAAACGAAGCTTGTTATTTTTCTATATAATTATGAGTTTTTATTCTTATTGCATTTTAAAACAAGCCCTATTTTTCACTTTTATGCCAATTTTCATAATTATAGATTTAGTTTAAAAAAAGGAAAAATTACCATAATTATTTGAAATGGCTGCCCTGTAAAGTTCAATAAATGTCAGATCCGACACTATTCTACGACTATGACGACATGTTCACAGGCAACTCTAAAACCAAACCATAAACGGTTGAACGAAGTGTTCGAATTTTGACATAATTAAATTAGTATTATTTATTTTATCTACATCACTATGAAACTTTTTTAATGAAAACAATTAGATTTCAAACTGTAATTTTTAATGTAATACAGTTGAATTATGACAGATTGTGTCTCAAGAACTTGGAAGCTGGTGCTGTTTAAACGTAACTGTGCGTTCTTTTTACTATCTTAGTTGTATAAAATAAACGATGTTAATAAACATGATATGAGATAATATTAGAAATTAATAAACACTCTAAAGAAATACATTTTAAAACAATGAAATAGATTGCTTCTATATTTCTCCTACTATTTAACGAATTGATTCTTCCATTGTACGTTGTATTATTACACTAATAAGTGGTCAGTCTTCGTGTATTTTTTAAAATCCCTTATAAAATTATTGCAACTTATTACACACTGTCCTTGAAACCCCTAAAATTTGTAAAAAAAACAACATTGAATCCTAATTTTTTTAGTAATAGTATTATTTTTAAGTAATTATTCAATTTAACCACCACTATGAATTCATTAAAATGGGTTCAGGGATTTAGTCGTAAAAGAACAGACAGTCAGAATTACTTTCGCATTTATAACATAATAACGGAATAACTTTTGTTAGTGCAGTCTTTAATGTAACATTTTCGGTTACTATAATACAAGTAACAGCAGCAACAACATAATATGTAAGGCCACATGTCAATTTATCATCGGTCATCAGATTCCGTTGAGATTGTTACTCAATATACATATATTTAAAACAACATTGACTATTAATTGTATTTATACATTTTTTAAGTCCTCAATTTAATTTATAAGTATTTTGTAGAATATTGGTTGTGAAATATTGTTCAAAGAGGTACTTATTTTTTACAACATCACACTGCCTACAGATTTTGATACTTGTGTATTACATAAGAACATTTTAAAGATAAATTAATTAGAAAAAAGGATTACATTAATATGGAAAATATAAATACAATTATCAGTATGTCTTGTCCTGTGTTAGATATCGACATTTATATACACATTGTGGTATTAACTAAGCAGTCTATTATAATTAATTGTCAATTCTTACTTTTAAAATAGGTAATGTTTAAAGTGTTAAGTATCACCCAAATTACTAAAATTAACATGATAGCAATACATCACCAGAGACCCTTTTAGTACCATTCTAGTTAGGATTTATTTTCAATAAAATGTTTTATTTTTAAAAGATTGTAAAAATTGTTTCTTTAAACTTATGTGATCACTATATAAAAAGGTTGCAGTGGAAACATAGTGCTCATTTCTATTTCTGATAAGCGTTCAGCACTCGATATGTAGTCTACTCGAGTACACCATCACTCAGTGCAAATCTCGTTACTCGTACAATCCGCACACTGGTCTGTCCTCCTACAGTGGTGGGGCAGGTAGGTGAGCTAGCTGACAGAGCAGCGTGAGCTCTGTTCTCCGCCGACCCTCTGCCGCACGAGGGGCCGCGGTGGCTGCGCTCCCCTCCCCTCCCCCCGGCGGCCCTCGGGGCTGTCCGCCAGGGACAGCGCCAGCGCGTGCGCCAGCGCCTCATCCTCGCTCTGTGGGGCAACACGGTGCTCATTTAGCAGAACAAAGCTTTACAAATATAACTAATAATAGCTGCTTTTTATAATAACCAATAAAATACTAACCATGGTCCCCTGTACGTCGGCGAATGTGGAAACGGGGGATGTGATGTTAGTATTGTTCCAAGGCGTTCTAATCTCGGCTGCTTTTAAACGCGACATAGCTGCGTCTCTGAAATCGAATTTTAATATTTTATTACTACTAGTGTTAAAGTTCTACCAAACATATTAGTGATAATTTTTAAACCAAAAAAGGAATTGAAAATAAAATAATATTTTCAAGTACATACGCAGCTTGTCTTCTTTTGACAGCCAGCTTGCCCTCGCAAAGATGATCAGCCGTATGACGATGGCGTAAGCAGAAATTTAGTGCGCATTCGCCACACACCAGTGGCACCATCTCCTTTGTTTTGCAGCCTTTGAATGAACACCGGTTTGTAAACACCTGGGCACATGGCAAAATCTCTTAGTTAAACTTATTTTCCAATCCCTCAGAAACGATTACTTGAAACACTTTTACTACTACCACATACTATTAGAAAGACAGTGACTTGATTACCAGATTTCTGTTACCTGTAATAATCATTTTCGGTCAACGGTCAACTTTTTTATCCATCTCCCGTAGTATCCAATTGAATTCGACTCTAGCTACCACCAAGTATATCATTAGCATTATGCTTTAATCTTAATAAACATGCCTAAAAATGTTTTCCATTAAGGATTTTACAAGAAAAAGAAGGAATATCTGAAACAATTAGGCTACAACTTGACGTAACCAGTTTGCAAATAATACAATCCTATCTAATCTTTATTTTAAATTATATAAATATATGCATATATATAGGTATATATTTTTATAGGTTTCGCAATTGGGCAAATTTTTCTCCATAAAATGAAACTCAAACCATCCTTTGTAGTATGCATTAAGGTCATAATGCTACCGTTTCTTGACCTAATCTTGATTACGTCAGGACTTTTGATCAGCAGTAAATTGCATTTAAGCCTGGCAGTCCTTTTCATTAAACTGATTATTACTGGTTTACGGATTGTATCATCAACAGCTTTTAATAGTCCACTGCAGGACATAGCTCTCTACTTAGAAAGGAAGTTTCGGTCTACTATACCGATTGTATGGCTATGCTTTATCATACCTTCTTACGTCTTTCTCTGGCAGGGTCTGAGGTACATTGGTTGTCAATATGAGCACCGACAGCAACATCTGGAGGCTCTCCACGTCGACCCGGAACAATAGCACCACACAATGGGCACACTGGGACTTGTACATCGCGGGTGTTAGGTTCTGGACATTCATGCTTGGAATATGCAAAGTGATCAGAACTGAAAAAGATGGAGAACATTCATCATTGATAGAGATGCATATGATATATGTTTAATTAAATTTAAAAAAAAAAAGAAAAAATCTCATTATGGTTATAGGCACATTTCTTACTTAAAGATTTCACATATGATCCCGATTATCTTTATTGTATAGGTACATATACTTAACATGTGAGATCAATAGATGAGTTATAAATATGTAGATCTCTATTTAGTTAATTTAACCAGTAAATTAATTATTTTTTAAGACACCAGGCATAGGCACTAAGTATATATCCTGTGTCGCATTCATGAAACATACACAAAGAACACCCAGACTCGGAATAACAATTTGTGAATCACACAGTGTTGTCCCATGTGGGGATCGAACCCACAACACTTAGCGCAGTAAGGACCAGCGTGGCGGGAATCTATTGTATCAATACAAGTTAGTGGCAATATCTTTGTTTTCTTAGTGAATTAATAAAAAAAGAACTCCTCTATGAAGTAGATATATACAACTAACTAATACATATGTAAAATTATATATAATTGAGTAGCAATGAAATAAAAAAGCTATTATCAAAAAGATTAACTGTCAAATTTCACATGTCGCTTTCAAGTTACAGTGTATTAGATTGACACATCAGAATTATGCAGCCTTGTTTTTACTTACCAGAACACATCTTTACAGGCCCCACATTTCATCGGCAGGAAATCTATAAAGGAAAACATGTTGAATTACAACCTTATAATAGTATTTTATTAAGTATTAGTATTTTTGTATTATGGTATCACTATGCATTATGGTGGGTTAAATAGACTGTATTTAATATCAATCAATATAATTTTGGCTCTAGATGTTAGATCTTTCCATTTCACAATTATTAAAAGAAAGTTATTCTATTGACAACTATTGTGATCATATATGATATGATTAATTTATTAGATATTTATGAAATTAACAAAAATATATTATCTATTGCTCAAGCAACAAGTTAACAAAGTATTACTCTCTGCATTAAAAAGACGACTTAGGAGCCATTGTGATAAGAATGAATAAGAAAACATCACAAAAAATTATTAATTCTCGCTAAATTTAGTAGTTTGGGTAATAATTATGAACAAAGAATTTTTAACTGATGAACTACCTTCACTAGCCTTAACATTTTCAAGGATAAGCTTTATAGTATTGCATATGTATTTTTTGGAATTGTTTTGTTCCCTGTGCTTAAATATGAATGATAAACCATTTAAATAAATTGTTTAGATTAACTATAATACCAGATTTTTCGTTATTATAATATAAAATAAACTTACCTAGTTTATTGCAAGATTTGTAAGAACAATTATTTCCAATATGTGGGAATTCCATTTTCTTGATATTTAGTGTATAGATTTGGTTTAGTTTTAAATAATATGCACTGCACAGCAGAAACGATAGTGATCTAATGACGCCACAAATTTGTTAACACTTATATATCGCGATGTTGCAAAACTATTACAACCACAGTATTCGTCATAGTTCTAGTTCAAATAGAAAATACACGATAATGATGAAACATCATTTCTCATTTGACTTTGACAACCACAGAACATATATACCCCTAAAGGGGAAGAATAACGACTCCATACTATTTTTATGAGGAAATTTTTCCTTACCGGCCGGCGCCATCTATGCTCCGCCCACCAAAACTAGACAGTAGAAGCTAGGGCGGGAATTTCAAAACAGATACTTTGTATTGCATTTTATGCACAAGTACAGTGCGTTTCTCGATAGTGTTCATCAAGATGGTCAATTATTTCTCAGCAAAAACAATTGACATCTAAACGACATCACTATCGAGAAACACACTGTACTTGTGCATAAAATGCTGAAAGCAATATTTATGGAACAGTGTAATAAAAGAAACATTAGTATTTGACTTTTTTATTTAGCATAATATTCATTATAATTTATCAGATATTCATATTATAAGCAACTATATACTAATTTTACATGAATAAATGTGTTTTTGGATTATATATTCATTTGGGACAAAAGGTGTTCACAAGTATGTGTATGTAATTTTTTTGCGTGTGTTGTGGCCACCCTCTAGTGTCAGAGCTTATTAAGTCGCCTCTGGGAATCCCACAGGCCTCTGACATGGCGTGTATGTAATGATAATTAATCACAAAATTTGTCGCTTAATCTAAACACAAATTAAACATAATATTCTAAAAATGAGATAATACATACAATTTGAAAATACAGCAAGCATCTTCGACCATATGGTCTATTGCATACAATTTTAACATCAAAAAGCTAGACAAGGTCAAACACAAGTTTACACTTTACAGACATATATCATAATATTATATAATATGTATTATTTCAGTTTAATAAAATAAATAAAGAAATGGTTAACAAGAGAGATACTTATTATTTTTGTTGAAGGTAGACAGATCTGACCAATTTAGCTACACTATCGTCCATTAATAAAACAAGTTGTAAAATAATAAATAAAGCATAATCAGCCTATAATGAAATGAAATGATATTTATTTCTGTAAGTAAATCTTTTCAGATATTTTTACAAGTCGGACTTTATAGAAGGAGCCGGCATTTCCTAAGACTCACTCTGGGAAGAAACACCGAAACAAACCACAGAGGTGTCTTTTTTTTTTAAGTCCGTAAACAAAGTTAATTAAAACTGTGCGAGTACAGTATAGGGTCTGGATAGGCCTTTTGAGGAAAGGATCATAGTTTTGAGTCAACCTGTCCATACAGACGGCATACAGGCTCCAGCCATCGTGTAGCCTAACCGATATTGGTCAAGATCAACGACCCGAAGCACGACACTACCGCCAGCAGGACATTTGGGTAGGCCGTGGAAACACTCAAAACCACCAGAAAGATAATAAAAAATTAATTAACATTACAAGCCTACACTGTACTCACATTTACATACTTACACAAAAAATAAAAAAATACTACACAGTTCAAAGTCAACGAAAAATAAAATACGAAAACAAAATACGAAATACACCAAAAAATAATAATTAAATGTCCATCACTTTCAAACTTAACAACAAAGATGTCTACGTAAATGTGGGAGTGAGCAGCATCAATCCCAAGCAAATTTGTCGGCTAAATAATCTGTAATAGTGTAGTAAGCCTTTTCACATAGTTTTAGCTTTACTAAAGACTTAAATTTATTAATACTTAATTCATGGAATTTGCTTGGCACTTTATTGTAAAATCGCACACCCTGACAATGAAAAGACTTGCTTACTTTTTGTAGTCTAGTGGTTGGTAACACGAGTTTATCTTTATTTCTAGTGTTTATTTTATGCATGTCGCTAAACTTTGTGAATAAATGATTATTTTTCTTTACATACACTAAATTTTCATATATATATTGAGATGCGACTGTCATGATACCAATTTCTTTAAACTTATCCCTCAGTGACTGCCTATAACTAAGATTATAAATTGCACGAATAGCTCTCTTTTGCAACACAAAGATACTTTAAATGTCAGCAGCATTTCCCCACAACAAAATACCGTATGACATTACACTATGAAAATAGCTAAAATACACCAGTCTAGCTGTTTCTACATCGGTTAATTGACGAATTTTGTAAACCGCGTATGCTGCAGAGCTAAGTCTATTCGACAATCCGTCAATGTGTGGGCCCCATTGCAATTTAGAGTCTAGTGTTATACCTAAAAACTTGGTGGTGTCCACAAGATTCAACTCCTTTCCATTTATTAGAACATTGGTCTTTACCTGTTTAACATTAGGTGTAAAAAATCTAATACATTTCGTTTTATTCTCGTTTAAAAATAAATTATTAACATTAAACCAGTTTACAACCTTAGAGAGAGTGCTAATCACGTCATCAGTTACTGATTGCTGTCGTTTAAGTTTAAATAACAGTGAAGTGTCATCCGCAAATAGTACTATCTCCTGATTATCATTTTTCCACAAATATAAAAAAATGTAAAAAATGTTCTGTTCTGTGGATTTTTTTTCCTCTTCTTAAATCTGATGTCGACGCGTTTACTCCATCAAACAGTTCATCCATGTCTTTAATTAAATTACCCGTTGCCACTGCTCCAGTCGGCATGTCTCCTGAAAATTCACAATAAACAAATTAAATCAATATAAGTACAATATAATATGACAATATAATTATTAGATTAGATAGTTTCACCATTTATAAAAGAGACAACCCCACATTTTCATACTGTTGAAACGAATTTGTAAGACTTGTTGTTAAATGTGCATAAGTATCATGCATAATAATTATGATGTGTGTGTATAAATGAGTTGGACCATGACTATTAAAGATGTCTCTTACCTTTAGCTATTTTGGAAAATATTCCTGCTGCAACTGAGTGGCTTAAAACTTGTGCTGCAAGTTTTACCCTCATTTTTTGCTTGGTATTGGGGTCAACGTGTTCTTTAGTTAAGAGTGGTGCATAAACAAAATTGGGATTATTATTGTCCAGTTCATAGAATTGTCTGATGTGGCTCCATTTAGCGATTCCTGTAAAGTAATTATTAAAAGTAAAATTATCTATACTAATATTATAAAGCTGAAGAGTCTGTTTGTTTGTTTGTTTGAACGCGCTAATCTCAGGAACTACTGGTCCGATTTGAAAAGTTCTTTCAGTGTTAGATAGCCCATTTATCGAGGAAGGCTATAGGCTATATATCATCACGCTAAGACCAATAGGAGCGGAGCACCAATAAAGAATGTTTCAAAAACGGAGAAAATTTATTACTATTGAAAGACGCAGACGAAGATGCGCAGGTCAGCTAGTTAAGTATAAACTACATACATATTATTAAACACTTTTTTTAAACTAAATAACAATGACTTACCAATTCCTTGTTTGTTGTCTGATGTTATATTGGTCATAAACTTTACATCATATTTCATGAACAGATTTCTGAAGCACTTCAGCAAGTGTGGTGTGTCAAATAGCGTGACTACTTTGTGATTGCTCACTTCTATATAGGGATTCTCTACAGAAGCTCCTAATAGACACAGAGCTTTCTTGTTGACTCCATCCAAGTCACAAACTGAAGCGCATATATTAAGGCCAGCATTAAAGCAACAATTTAAAACCTGAAATTTTTTTAAGGCAGATTAGTAACTTAGCTTATTTAACATAAGCATGATCATCTTTCAAAATGAAGAAGAAATGCATACCTCCTTAATCAAAACAGATAGTCTGTCAGCTGTGACAAATCCACTTGATAGGTAATAAGCCACTGGCTGTTTAATTGGCTTCCTAACTCCAACCACCATAAATACAAGCGCATATGAAGCTGCCTGTGGAGATCTACCTTGTGTGGCATGGTCTTGAAAACCCTCAATTTGATCAGACTTAGAGTTGTACCATAAATTTTTTCTTAATGACATTTCATCCCACAACAATATGTACTCTCGTTCAGATGGCCCAAAGTGTTTTGTAATCTTTTTCAACATTGTAAGTGTTTTTTTCTGTATCCCCACATTCATCCTAAATCTGCTTAAGAGGGATTTTAATGTGCTGGGTGCTGGTAAACAAATCATTCTCCTCAATAACTTGTAGCATGTTGGTGACCTTTTGTAGAGCCTCAATGCTATTATTTTAGCTTCCATGTTCCACCTGCGTCCAGGTTTCTTCCTCTTATAATTCTGCAGTTCTCCTTGCAGTAACAGGGCAAATGATGAACTCATTTTTTTATTGAGGATTTTTTTTACTGTTTCATTGTTGGAGATTTCATTTAAAAATGCTTCATTTTTTAAATATTTTACAGTTTTTTGTAATCTATACACTTTGTTCATACTATTTTTCAGTTTCCTTATCAACATTTTGTTTTTCTTATCTCCTTCTTGTTTTGAAGACTCGCACACAATCATTCCTGAACAACTGGTTGGAGTGATAATGTTTGCATTATGTTCTCTTAAAGGATAAATTCTGGATGGACCGGCAACAGGTTCAAATATGGCAGGTTGATCTGGCAGATTAGAAATTGTTGTGTCCTGAAAATGAAAGGTTAACATATTTATTTTAAATAAATTAATTTAAATCCTTAAATTAATATAAGTCATAGTTGAGGTAAGCAAATTATATATATAAGAAATATTTATAACTAGCTTCTGCCCGCGGCTCCGCCCGCGTAAATGTCGGTCATCGCGGTAAAAATGCACTCCCTCCGCGTAAATGTCGGTTATCGCAGTAAAAAGTAGCATGTTTTTCCTCAAGAATCAAAGTTTCTACATACCAAATTCCATCTAAATTTATGACTCATTTTGCATGTTTGTAATTGCCCAAGTTTTCTTAAATTTATGTTAACAACATCATTCTGCTACATAATATTATGTGTTACACATAACATAAAGTCTGTATTTCTCTGCAATGTAAATAGCTTTAAATACACTTTTAAAGTATTAATTGTACTAACCTTATGGCATTGAACACCAGGTACAGCTGTTCTGAACAACTTCTTCTCAATAAAGCATGTGCTTTCAAAATGTTTGCTGCAAAGCATCTTATGTTTTGAATGGAGTTCATCCTGGAATTTTGGTGAAGACCAGGCTTTGTATGGAAAGCAATACTTTGCCCATAATTCACACCTGGAAATTAAAAAAAAAATTAAAATTAAAAAATAAAATACGAAATTAAAATTAAAAAGGAAATTAAAATTATTTTATCTCATCTGCATTGCAATGATAAATGTCCAAATGCCCAGAGACTGACAATGAAAAATGCTAGTCAGAATAGAAAGACTTCTACTGATAACACTGCGGATGGCGACCCTTCAAAAAGGCGCAAATCTGACTATTCTATATGTATGGGTAACAGAGGCATCCATTGGTCTACATTCGTAGAGAACAGGGGAAGGTGTAAAGTTTGTAGCTTGAATAAGGTTCAGTCGAAACCTCATAGTAAATGTTCGCATTGCAACGTGTTTTTGTGTGTAAATGAGAAGAAAAATTGTTTTGTTGAATACCATGAGGTTAATCTGTAATTAAAAACCTAATAATTTAATTATTACTAAGTCAATATTGGATCTCATTATTTTGTAGTTTCTATCCAAGTTCCTAACATTGTGATAACACGAAGTTCCTGACGGCACTTTTAAGTCTAGGTCTTGGTAATAGTACTTCTAGGTATAATAAAAATCTAAAAAAAATCTGTGCGTTTCGTTTTACTTACCTTATTATGTAAATAAAGTTCAAAAGCGAAAATTTGTTAAAAATCACTACCCCGGGGGGAAAGGGTTAATAATCATATTTTTAATTAAGTTTTATCTAAATAACAATCTAAACTTTCTGTATTTCCTTTGATTGAAAGAGATTTAAAGGATGTAAACGAATAGCATGGAAAGTACTTAGGTAGGTACATACCGCAGAGCATTTTTTGAGCCAGGCTTAGGAAACCGATGCAAAGTGATGCTGGAATCTTTAGAAGGTGAAGATCCACACATGCAACAGATTCTAGTGTTTTCTTTCTGCGAACTCATTGCGAAAATTAAACACACAATCAAACAAGTCACTATCTCAACACCGAGTCTATATCTCACAAACACACACTTAATTTCACCAAAACACAGCCACGGAGGAGCAAACTCGACTCACGTTTATTAGTTTAGTTTAGTTTAGTTTAGTTTATTTATTACAAATAAACATAGGTACAAGATAAAATGGTGCGGGAACCGCAGGCAGACATTTTTCTTGTGACGTCAAACGTGTTGCCAGTAGTTGCCACACATTTTCCCCCTTATCTTTTTTTTGTTTTTGTGTATTGATCAATTAAATATGTTATATTTCTTAGCAAAATAATTTTTTTGGGTATCAGAATAATCACAAAATGTATTTTTAAGGGTGACTTTCTTTTTTAGCTCATTGTTTTGGAGAAAACGAAATTGTAATTTTGGTGGCAACATTTTATAATTCATCTCTTTTACTCTAATGTTGTTGTCTCTTTCTTGTTTTCAAGCCCACCTACATCTTGTTCTAAGAACAAAGTTGACAGACCCTGTTGACAACATGCATTTGTAGATACGGCTTTGATTTATATTTTAAACGTTTCGGTCGTTTCGGGTAAATTCTCGATTGTTTTATGAACGAAGTTCCATGAGCGGTGGGAGCGAGACTGAAAAATATGTAACCAACAAGACTCTTTTCCGACACTATAGCAAATGTAAATGTCTTTCCAAAAAGCGAAATGAACTTCGTTCTGGCCGGAGGTCCATAGACCTCTCACGCCGTTTTTATTAGTTTTTTTTTTAATTCTCGATAACAGTGATAATTATAAAATGTTCACTGATAAAATCACATCAATAATAAGGCCATTTGTTTGTAATGTATAGATTAGTTATGTTGTTGCATTGTGCCGTATGTGTTGTATGTCTTTGTGCTCATATTCATTTTAAATTATAACAGTCTTTGCAAATAATGATCACAAGCACAAGCATGACGTCAGACCAAAGATACAGAAATACTATTCTTTACCATGCGTCATCCTGAATGTATGTACAAATTAAGGTGACCAGTGACCAGCTGTTAAAGACCAGTGAATGCATGAGAGTCAAAATTGATTACCAATGAGTCGTCTATACTATCTAATATTATGAAGCCGAAGGGTTTGATTTACTTATTTTAGATTTGAAAAATTATTTTAGTAATTTATTTCTTTTGAGAGACGCAGGCGAAGTTAGGTGGGTCATTGAGTACCCATGAAACAAGACAAAAAAACAATAGCATCTACTAGCACTGCATCTACTAGCCTTGCATCGACAGCCTTTACTAGTCCACTGCTGGACATAGGCCTCTCCTTAGAAAGGAGGTTTTGGCCTACTACACCACGCTGGCCAGACGGGTTGGTATAGAGTTTGTGTCAAGTTTTCCGTCTCTCTCCAGTGCTGTTGTCCGTAGTTTGCTCCCTTAGTCGCCTTTTACGACACCCACGGGATGATGTGGTGACACTCTGTATTCTTAATCCGTCACCACACGGACACGCCTTGCAATTAATGTTTTTATGTATGTATCTTTAGTCCAATGCACAGATTACCCCCTAGAGAGTAATCTGTGGTCCAATGGTACCAATCAATACCATAAAATCTTAATCTTTTTGCGTTTCATAAAATCGTGAATCCTAAATAACCATACCACAGATTACATTAAAGCAAAAGCCATTGCTTTACATTAAAGCAAAAGCCACAGATTACATTAAAGCAAAAGCCATTGCTTTATTATAATCTGTGGTTAGAACTCTGATAACGTCAATCAAACTGTCAAGCGTCAAGTTTTATATTAAAATGTCATACGGCTGTTCTATAATTTGCAGGTGTCCGGTGGGGTGACTGGTCTCGTCTTTGAGATTTTTGTCAACATATTCAAAGTGATCCTGGTTGAGGATCACAAAGTAACCTGGGTTTTATAGAAGAATTGTTGGTCAAGATGAGTCAAATTTTTCCAACTGTAGCTAAACTATTAGGTGGCTACAATGTCACGGTTGGTTCTGTTATTAAAATATTGTGTTATTAACTATAAATATTACAGTAATTGTTCGAAGGAGCGTGATACGGATATATTTAAAGGTCTTACTTTTGTTTTAGAAACTGGCTGCCCCAGCTGCAACCGCATCTAGAGCGAAATATAGTACTAAGAATGAAGCTACGTTTGAAATAAAGGTACCTATACTCTAATTAACTTGTTATAGATTTGTCAGAAGTGTATTTAAAGGTCATTTAGATAGTTTGCTCTTGGTATACCCCCGTATTAGTATGTAGTTGATATAGTTCTAAATTATAATTTTATAAAATACATTATGTAACCTAACCTTCAGAAATTAATTTCCTTTTTATTTATTTTTTTATTTGTGAAGACCTCGTTTATGCACTACAAAAAAGATATTATTGTCAACCTTTTTTGTTTTATACGATACTCAAGCATTCATTATCATCCTGACTTAGTATTAGCTACATCTTACTCGGCTCTGATGTCAAATTAAGTGAAAATTTGGTATATACCACTAGTGGTAATTTGTAGATAGAAAAATTTTTATTTTCTAAGAAATCACATAACAAAAGTATGGAGGTGACAAATGAAAGTAATGTTTTTTTTCAATTTTTATGCTTATGCTTATGCTCGGCGGTTTTTTTTATACACACAATTGGGGTATCTACATGCCCGGATACGTCAGGGTACCAGGAATGCCTGTTCCTAAGACGGCGTTCGGTTTTTAGTTGGTTAGAGTCTGACATAACCACCTGTGGGTGGTATCCGAGCGCATTTCCACACAGACAAAAAATGAAATAGTTAATAATATTGAATTTAACAAATTATACCTCTGATCTTATCAATCTGCATTATAGATTTATAAAAAAAATAAGAAAATGACCATTATGAACTTAAAACTGCTTTTATTAAGAGCTGGTTTTACAGTATGTATGGGATATTGGTGAATCTGGAATCGGATGGTGTTTTTAAACTTTACAAATTCAGTAAAACGGTTGTTTATTATTGTTAGTTATTTAAGATAACATTTTAGTTCCATTCTGTTAGTTACAAATTGACTTGAAGCTTTGTTAGTATATATTATTAATAATCTTACATAGTAAACCTTAGAGATCGTGTATAATCTAATGCTGTAAGTGGGGACATTTGATACTCTACAAGTGTGGATTTAAAGGATATTGTAGTTTGCTTGTTTGTCTGGAAAACAGTGAAAAAATAGCCAAACGATCTGATTTACTCATACGGGAAACTACAGATAAAAGTTAGATTTATACATATGATACTGTATTGCTATTGATGATAAACTGACTGATGTAAATACTGACGATGTAGGACTATAACAATCAATTTCAATATGTTATCTTTTTGTTTCATATTGCTGCGAACATCGTGATAGCCTGTGAGTATAGAATCTTTTAATAAGAAGTTTCCCTCCTGCTTGCATTTTTAAGTCCTTTTATCCAGTTTTAATTGTCACGCAACATTTAAAAGCCCTTATTTCTCTTGGAAATATAATATGTATTTAGAAATTTAAAAGTATGTTGAGAAGGAAAACTTGAAACAAACCCTATACCAAACTATCTGGCCAGCGTGCCAAAACCTCCTTTTTAAGGAGAGGCCTGTGTCCAGCACTGGTCTAGTAAAGGCTGTCGATGATGATAAAGTATGTTTATCAGCAGTCTGGTACAGGCTCTACCTAGTTTGGGATCAGATGCCCGTGTGTGAAATGTAATCCTGATGTTGCTTTTTAAAAGTGCTTTTTGCTTGCATAGACTACATTGCAAGTCTTTAGTCTGAACCCTGGTAATGGTAATTGTTTGCTTTTAAATTTGTAACTGTTTCTTTGTTCTAATAAAACCATTTTCTAAACAACAGTACAAGCTGCATAGACTAGAAAACAGCCCGTCTTCTAAAGCTACATTGACGTCTGAAGATGCTATTAGACTGTACGAACAGATGACAATTCTGCGACGGCTGGAAACTGCTGCATCTAACATGTATAAGGAAAAAATTATTCGTGGCTTCTGTCACTTGTACTCAGGTAAGCACTTAACCATTTCAAATGTATTTAATACCGTTATCGTTTAATGCCCGTTCATATTTCATTCTCATATTCAAGTGAAAGTATAAGTACCTCAGATTAGTGATCAAAATGATAGTCAGTGTGAAGCCTACTCAATACCGTTGTGAACACTCTCCTGTTGTTGGTGCAGGGTATAAATACTTCGACTACTTTAAGAAGGTCAATTCTCATAATATAAGTTCGGTCACAATTCAGTTCCGATCAATTTGCAATCTCACAACTGTCATAAAAAATTTATTTTAGTAGTTAAATATTAAACATCTAACGTAATGTGGTTATGTCGTATTGTGACCTAAAATTGAATCGGTAATCTGCTAGTCTTAGTAAAACTTCACTATTTTACTACGAAAGTACCTTTTATGATAGTTATGAGATCGAAAGTTGATCGGAACTGAATTATGGCCGAACTTTTATTACGAGAAATGGCCTTCTGGTCTCAAAGGCCGAAAACTCACTTCTGATTTGAAGTGCAAGAGTTCTTAACCGGCGGTAGTCGCTTACCTTAAGCTGATCTATTTGCTCGTTTGCTCCCTATATCATAAAAATAATAATTCGATAATTTATTTTAATTTTATTTAATGTATTTATATATAAATGAACAGGTCAGGAAGCAGTAGCTGTGGGTATGCGCGCAGCAATGCGTGACGTGGACAGTGTGATAACAGCGTACCGTTGTCACGGCTGGACATACTTGATGGGCGGTACGGTTTTGAGCATTTTGGCCGAGCTGGCCGGCCGCAGGTCTGGCTGCTCTCGCGGTAAGGGAGGCTCTATGCATTTGTACGGACGCAACTTTTATGGAGGCAACGGCATTGTTGGTGCACAAGTAAGTACCTATCATTCGTTTAGTAGTTTTGCTTCACTATCTGACCATTAGGACCTATCCTGACTAATAATATAAACACCAGTCACCAGGATAAGTAATAGATATTTATTTCTTACACTTTCATGCCTCAATTGACGGGCCTGCTGGTCTAGTTGTTGGAGATGCTGGACTGCTAAGCCCAGATGTCGTTGGTTCGATTCCCACGGGTGTAATTTATCTATAATATGTATGTCTACCAGCAGTCTGGTTACCATAGTACAGTAGTAGTAGACTCTGCCTAGTTTGGGATCAGACGGTCGTGTGTAAAGTTATTACTATAACTACGGAACCCATCACCATCAACTTTTGTATTTAGTTTCATTCAAAACAAAAATCCGCGTACAAGATCTACCATATTATAATACATTTGACGGTTGTTTGTATGTGATCGCAGCTTGCGATAAGAGCGCCATTCGTAACAAACGTTTAATTGTATCTTGATAATTGTTGTTTGTTTCGCAATGAAGTTCATCTGTTATTTACTGTCGTGTAATCCCATGCCTGTGTAATCCTGAGTAATTCTAATAATTGAAGGGATATTGCTTATATGGCGGAGTGTAGGCTAGCTCTAGTAGGTTAAGTATTGCGTACCTTTAGCCCTGTCTGTTATCGGGAAATCCGAGCCTTCAAACATAACTCTGTGTACAATAGACAGACCATTTTTTTAACACGCTTTTAGTAGCTTCACCTGTATGTTTGTTTGTATGTAACCGACTCCTTTGGGCGTAATTTTGACTGACTTTAAACGGTCAGAATTCGTTTAAACTTTGTAGATATATCGAGGACCGATGACAATACACTAATTTAAAAAAAAATATAGTTTTAGCGTTAAAAGCGTTGGGTGCCTGTTGTCAATAGTAAAAAGCACCCAACGCTTTTATTCAAATTTATTTTCTATTTTTTAGTTTGGTTTTCTATAGAAAGCGTGTTTTTTAGTTTTTTAAAACTATATTTTTTTTTTAGTTTTTTTCAGCACTATAAGGATAGTACTCAATCATGTCTACTGCCTATGCTGTAAGCGTTCTGGGTTCAACTTCTGCATGTTTTTTTTTATGATTAACTAGTTCGTGCCTGTGGCTCTGCCCGCGTGTATGTCTGTTATTGCGGTAATAAGTAGCCACGTCCTTTCTCAAGAATCAAAGTATCTCCATGGCAAATTTTGTTAAAATCGGTGAAAGCGTACCAGACAGAGTTAGTTTTGCATTTATAATATTAGAAGGGATTAAATTTATTAGTAACTAGCTGACCCGCGCAACTTCGTCTGCGTCTCTCACATCACATCAACAGCCTATACTAGTCCACTGCTGGACATAGACCTCTCCTTAGAAAGGAGGTTTGGAGGTTGCCTCTCCTTAGAAAGGAGGTTTGGAGGTTGCGTCTCTCAATAGTAATAAATTTTCTCCGTTTTTGAAACATTCTTCATTGGTGCTCCGCTCCTATTGGTCTTAGCGTGATGATATATAGCCTATATCCTTCCTCGATAAATGGGCTATCTAACACTGAAAGAATTTTTTTAAATCGGACCAGTAGTTCCTGAGATTAGCGCTTCAAACAAACAAACAAACAAACTCTTCAGCTTTATAATATTAGTATAGATTCTGCGCTAAAAGTTATTTTAGTAAAAATGTTTGCTGTAGTATGGTAAGTAAATATCTGTAAAAATAAAAATGCAAATTCAACATTTTCATGCGTCGACTCGAGTATTTTAAAGGCCTTGAACAACAATATTATATGCGGATACAGTTTCAAGTACTCGTCTATTTAAAACCTCATCCGCATGTACTCGAAACAATAGCTAGGTCTCACAACCGCCACTGTTTTCTAGGTTCCTCTGGGCGCAGGCGTAGCATTCGCTCACAAGTACACTGGTGACGGCGGGGTCAACTTTGCTCTATATGGAGACGGTGCTGCCAACCAAGGGCAGATATTCGAAGCCATGAACATGGCTAAGCTGATGGATCTTCCCTGCGTGTTCGTCTGTGAGAATAACGGATATGGTGAGTTTTAAATAACACAGTGCCTAATACATTTCACTGATGAACTACGAAAGATGATATCGACAATAATGTGATACATTATATAGATAAAGAAGGGGTAAGAGAGACAGCAGATGTAACTGAATAAAAATATTCCACTGATGGAAAGAGAAGATATATATTTTGATTTCCTCTTAAAGAAGACGTGTTGGTATCACAATCGTTTCTTATCAATTTCTTCTTAACGTTGCCGCGAATGGTTTAAACTCTGTCTCTGTGCTTCACTATGTTTAAAGTTTAAACTAAGAAACAAATACTTTTTTTTTTCACACACGGCTGCCTGATCCCAAACTAGGCAGAGCCTGTACTACGGTAACCAGCCTGCTCATAAACATACTTATATATTTCTAAATACATACATAGATAAATTACACCCAGACACAGAACAACCGATCGTGCTCATCACACAAATATTTTGTTCTGTCTGGGAATCGAACCCACGACATCCGGTTTAGCAGTGAGGGTCACTAACCACTAGACTATCAGGCCCGTCGCTAAACGCATTTTAATCATATATATATAACACATAGTATATATATAAATACTAGATATTGCCTGCGCCTTCGCCCATGAGTATATCGGTTCTCCCGGTAATACATGGTGACTGAATTTAATAAATCGGTTTAGTGGTTTAGGCGTAAAACGAACAAAAAAACAAACTCACTTTCACATTTATAAGTATGGAAGTATGGATATATGGCCGAAGGTGACACCAGAGGCATATTAAAACGCCAATATATTGCCCCGACTGAAATTTTAATGTCACTTATAAACGTCAAACCTACTACCGTCAAACCGACATTTTAGGAAATAAATAGTAATATTATTAATGTGGTGACGGATTAAGAATACAAAATGTCACCACGCCTATTCCTCCCATGGACTACTACGCAGGACTGCAAAGAGAAGGAAAACTTGAAACAAACCCTATACCAACTCATCTGGTCAGCGTGGAATGTAGGCCAAAACCTCCTTTCCTATGTCCAGCATTGGACTAGTAAAGGCTGTTGATGATGGGAATATTATATCGCTGTAATTATTAATTAGGGTATATTTCTTATTTTCTCAAGCCACAAACATTCTACCAGCTTGAAATTGAAACAGAATTTAAAAAATAACCTGTCTTCCACTGAAATATTCTTGGTATTTTTGATCATGTTTCAAATTATTCTACGTTTTGTGTCTGTGTATTTCTACTTAGATTAATATCGACTGTTAATCAAGAAACCACGTCTGTATAGAATTTTAATTTGCATAGATAACGCAATGAGATGATTAAATCGTGCCTTTCAAATGACCTGCTATACTACGAAATAATACATATTGTCTCATTTATAAACAGATATTAACATTGTATTGGTGTTGCGAAAAGCATAACTTTTTTGTGTATATATTAAGAGACTAGCTAGCACCCGCGACTTCGACCCGCGTGGAATTTGAAAAGCCCTGCTTTAGTGGGTTCGATTCCTGAGTTGGACAAAATTTTAAAGAGTTTTTCTGAGAGGAAAACTAGTTTTTATGCATAGGTATCGTGCAATTAACCGTATTTTATAGGGTTTTTTCTGATAGGAAAAATAGCCTTAGTTACTCCTTATATAGTCACCTACCTGGTAGTAAAATATTAGCAAAATCGGTGAAGCCGTTTTAAATATTACTCGCAGCACACAGACAGACAAAAATATTAAAACTGGTTTATTGCAAATAACCGTGTAAGCATGAAAAAAAAGCAATTATTTTGACATTGCAAACAGATGCATCAATTTTATTTATTTGTATAGATTATTTGAGTCTGTTTATTTAGTAAGGGTATTTTGTTTATAACATATTATCATGATTTTTTTAGCACCTTTATATAATAATAATAAAACACTTTTATTAGGTGGCTACTGGGCCCAATGTGTTAGTAACAATTACTTTAATCCTAATAATTAGTAACATAACGTTTTTTATTATCATGACACATGACCCCATCGAAAGAAACTTTTCCTAAAGTTATTTAACCATATTCAGTATCGATGTAAATTATTCGTTTACATGATTTTATAATGCTTTCGGTCCATTGGTAAGATGTATGTATAATTGGTATTTCTATTGTTTCATGTCTAGACATATTTAGGGAAACACTAGGTATTATGTTACAGAGTTTGAGAGGTATCTGTTGTTGTAGTATTGCTAGTATTCATATGTGTCCTAGAATTATATGTGTTATCAATATAGGTAGTGTAGTATATTCCGAATGTAAAATCTTTGGTCCAAAAAATTGTATTATCTAGCAATTTAATATGATGTGTGTATGTTAATATGTTTAACTACTGAAATTATCACAATTTGTGTAATACACATATTTCAACGGTATTTTTAATATATTAGGCCAGTTTTATTTTATTTTGATTTCAGATATACCTATTCATTAATTTCTTACGTGTTCTATTCTGAATTTTTAATTAAAACAGTGCAGTGTCTACACGAAAAACTATCTTTTTGAATATCAATGATCAAATTCATATCGTCATTTTCAATATCTAATTTTGTATTTAATACTTCGGTAGGAAAAAATAAAATAAGAACACCCTTTTTTTCATTAAAGAACATCGTTATATTCTAATAATAATAATAATATTAAATATTTGGATTTATCTCACGAGATTGTCGATATGTGGAATGTTGATTCAGTGATAATTGTTCCGATAGTCGTATCTGCTCACGGATTGATAGCCAAGAGCCTCGACCAACACCTTAAGAGGCTCACGTTGGACGGCTGGATCAAGGGTCTGATACAGAAGGCAGTCCTCCTTGACACGGCTCGTATAGTGAGGAGGTTCCTATCTTTGCAGTCCTAACCACTGGTGTCTTGGTACCTGTACCCGATGTCGGTGGTCTACTATTTTTTATATTTTTAAATGTATTTTTATTTCTTTTGTAATATATTTAAAAATGTAATTAATATGTATATATAATTGAATAAAGAGAATAATAATATATTTATTTGTCAGAATATTGTTGAGATACAGGTGTTAGACACAATATGACATCCATAATATTCTGTTGTTTCGTCGAAAGGATTAGTAAATACAATGTCAAGAATGATTAAATACAATGTAAAAAAGATTAAATAAAATGTCAAAAAATATTAAATAATTAAATTTATTAATGAATTGAATTATTGAGAATATAAAGGCAAGTTGTCGTCTAATTTATAATTTGAATCAAATTTTTCATTTAAAAACTCATTTGTTGACTAGTAACACTTATACAATAGAAAGTCACATAATTTCTTTTTAAATGTCAAGAAGTTAAGATTTTTTAAAACATTAGGTAATTTATTATAAACACGAAATGCCATACAGTAAACATTATTGGAAAAAAAATAATTCTTTGTTGGGTTTGTTGTTCCTTGTTTTTACGAAAGTTAAGTAGGTATGCTACTAAATCATTAGATAATCTTATCTTTCTTCCCAAAAATGTTTTTTACGAGGAATAGTAACTAAATTAGTTAACAAAAAATACTTACATTATAAATATTCTTGTATTTCAGGTATGGGTACATCAGCAGACCGCGCCGCTGCCTCCCCACACTACTACACACGAGGTGACTACGTGCCTGGCATTTGGGTGGACGGTATGGACGTGGTCGCGACTAGGGAGGCCACGCGATTCGCTATCGACTACTGCACCAGCGGAAAAGGTAATTTACAGCATATAAGACTTTCTACCTTGCGTGAGTGATGATACCACAGTAAACCACTGTCAAGCAGGAAGGCTTACTCCATTAGTTACTTTTCACAGAGTAAGTGAAGTAACTGTAGGCCAAGTAGTCCACCCCTGCCTATAATTATAGGGGTACTTAAGGCATAGGAAATTATTTGATCCAATTGATTTCTTACCTCAGTTTTTCTTCTTACTAGTCCAAAAATGATTACAGTCCCAAGATTTGTTTTATAGGTCCCTTGGTGATGGAGATGGAGACATACCGGTACAGCGGCCACTCCATGTCGGACCCTGGCACGTCGTACCGCACGCGCGAGGAGATCCAAGAGGTGCGCCAGACGCGCGACCCCATCACATCTTTCAAGGACAAGATCCTCACCGCTGGGCTCGTCACAGCTGATCAACTTAAGGTATGTACGTCATGGTTGCGATGTCATACTGATGCGAGGGTTCGATATTACATTACAAAACATCCATTTAAAAACAGGAATAAACACGATCTCACTGATATTCACTTAATACCGTTAGCTATTCTTCCCTCTTATCTATCGCAAAACTAGAATGACTAAACACCGGATGCTATCTGATATATATGTATAGCATTCTATTCTAGAATGTTTCTAGAACATTCTAGAATGTTTCTAAACTTTACTGAAGAGTCTAGTAATAAGTCTTAACTTGTTTGAAAATGAATTGATCATTCTTGTATATTCAAACTAATCTGGAATATTCTAATCGAAACCTTCTGATTGTAACACACACTATAGTATAGATCAGGGATACCCAAAGTGGTCGATATCGACCCCTTGGGGTCGAAATCGGTTACCGGGGTCGACATAAACCGACCTCTATAAATTAACACAAGTCCTCATTTGAAACTTTCAAGACACTGTATTAGTTGTGTTATGTGTATTTATTATAAGATTTATTAGATTATTAAGATTTATTATAAGAATGACTAATATTTTAGTATTAATTTGGCAGTAATTTGGCTATGGGAGTCTAAAGTTTCAGTTAATTTTAGAAAAGGAGTCTCTATCCCAAAATAGTTTGAGAATCACTGGTATAGATAGTTTTTACCAAATACAAGAGGCAGCACTTTTCTATGAGGATAACTTTTGGATTTCAGGAACTCGACACTAAAGTACGCAAGGAGGTTGACGTAGCGAATTCAGCCGCGAAGAGCGACTCCGAGATAGGGCTCGAGGAACTCGCGGCTGATATCTACAAAGAATGCTTGGAGCCTGACAATTTAATTCGAGGAACTAACCCCGACACTCCACTACAACACATCTCAGTAGCCAATTAAGGTGCTTTTACATGATACGAGATTCGTAGAGTAATCGACCTTTCTAATGTACGCGATAGCTATTAACCGTTGAAATTAAAAAGCTATCTAGTCCCAATATGTAGGTTGTGAACAATACTGCCTCATATAAGTTCACTCCTAAATTTATTTCAGCATAAATGCCGAATTATATGTATATATTCTTTATTTTCCTACTTTGCTATAAATATATAGCAATATAAGGAATTATAGACCTTAATATAATTGGGTTTAGATTTCTTTTTAATTTTTAGTTTTCTTGGAAGAATTAGATCTTAGGAGAAAAGATAACGACAGTGCATTTTACAAGTTTTTTTTACAAACTCAGTACCACACAAGGTAATAATTTATATTATAATTTTTGAAAAGGATTATAATTAGATTTTTAATATACATTAGTATGTATTAAGGTGTAGATGAGAATTATTATATATATTATAATTTATTAATATATATATTTATTGGTTTACTTCAAATTTAATCCCAACTTATTTTTAATAAAAATACATTTTATAATAGTTAGATAGTTTTATTATTCAAAGGCTATGTCATTACCTATGTTTTGCTGCCAATGTAAACATTTAAAAATATTTTTTAGATGTAGAATGCTTTATATTAGAAGATATCACATGTCAAGGCTCAATTCTGTCACATTCTCTAAATATATTATTGCCTAATTTCATAGAATTTTCATAGATTTTGTTTTAGTTTAATCACCATAGGCCTAAAAATATTTGACCATTCTAATAATTGGTCTTAAGGGTTAAAATTGTATAACAAAATTATGTATTTTGTAATATTCATTTATTCATCTGTTTCATGAATAATGTACGATAAAGTGTACGGTGCTATGTATATTTGACATACAGTAAAGAGAAATATGTCACAGCAGGTTTTGTTGTAATTTATGACGAACCAAACATTATCTAGAAATTTCTTTAGCGATAAGAAAACTAACTAGAAAATGAATGAATCTGCTTTTATTTTTTAAACTTTTAAACTATGACAATACGAGATATTCTATTATTTGAAACATTCTACAAAATGGGCATTTCATAATTTCAAGGCGACAGTAAATAAATACAATACTTTGTATTACTTTTAATCTCCTTTGTGTTTCTTTCAATTTAAGAGTAAATAAATATTTATTTTTCGTCAAATGGCGGTGTATATTTTTCTTGTACACAGATGTCTCTACAGATTGTAATACGTAATGACGATTGTGGACATATGTAAGTGAAATCGAATTAAGTTCAGACATGCAACCTGACTTCCGAGCTCCAGGACTCCCTAACTTCTGAGCTCTAGAACTTCCTGGCAACACCTGGTTTTAGTTAGAGGTTTGCGACCGTGGCCAATGCATGGATTAGAGTAAAAACAATTGAGCATGCATATATATATAGCAATATCCCATCACCTGCATTACTTGCACTTCTTAGCTAGGTACTTTTCCCCTTAACATACGGCTGCACGGATGACCCACTACAGTTAAGAGGTCACCTCACCGATTCCTATCACGCTGAGTGTTGTAGGTTCGATCCCCACATCAAATGGCACAACACTTTGTGTGATTCACAAATGGTTGTTCTGAGTCTGGGTGGCCTTTGTGTCCGTTACATGTATTTTTGTAAAGTCCCCCGCGACAGAGGATATATATATTTTTAAAGACTATTTGATTTGACAATACAGTTTGGCTGATGTAACATATACATATGTGCCACTACTGTAAGGTTTGTTCGTTTTATTTCACATAACTAATAGATATCTTTTACTTAAAAATAAATAATGTATTTATTACAGGCATCCTTGAAAATGAAACCCTAGCTTAAAGGTGCTGGTCGGGTATCGGGTGGCTCTAATGATGAGCTGTTTCACACGTGTCATTGGCGTTCAATTTAAAAAAAAACGATAATAAGAGTGACCTTTGTAAATTTTAGATATTATCACTATTATTTCTTATTCAAACAGGCAAAACGTGTAAGTTAAAGCTTTAAATCCAACTAATTTTAGAAAAATGTTAATCCTTCCTCTGACCATAAATACCAAACCAGGTTCGTGGCAAGACCTTGCACCTACCGACTATTACTTTTTCCAAAATTTAGTCAACTTTTTAGTTGGTAAAAAATCCAATTCCCGTGAGGCAGTACAAAATGTCTTTGAAGAGTTTGTTGCCTCCCGTCCAGCTGATTTTTACAAGAAGGGCATCAATAAACTGCCAATGCGTTGGCAAAGATGCGTCTATTGCATGGGTGATTACTTCGAATAACAGAAATAAAAAAGTTTGAAAAAATAAGTACTTTCACTTATTGCATACAAAACGGCAATTTCATATGTAAAGACCTATTATATCAAATATAGTAGGCCAAAACCTCCTTTGTGTGTGAGGCTATAACAAAACGTCCAAGTTATTTATCAACACAACATTGTTTAAATATCAACCAATGTTTTTATTTTTAATATTTCTAAAATTATATTACTAGAATAATATTATACTTTTAACATAAACCAAAAGGTTATGGTGATTTTAATTTAAACAAGTATTGTGTCTGTAAAATGTGAATTTCAGTGAATATAATATCAATTAAGGTAAATTAAAGTAAATTGATTATAGTATGACAAGTAATTCTTTCGTAAGAAAGTAAAGTACACATTGTCCCTAAAATGCCCTAGAAATCACCGCTTGAGACTAGTTTCAGCTTGTATCACGTAAACAAAGATCACAGCTGTCTAAATCTATAGCTTAGTAAAGATTTCGGCATAAACATCGTTCTAAAATAAGCTACTCACTTGAGTATCGATCGGTGATCGGAGTATCTCGTTTTAAGTGACATTCAATAATTAAATCTCTACTAAAAAATAGTTTTATGACTAGATTCACGACTGATGGCCGTTTTCACCAACATCCCCTAAATTTTAAGGGCCACCTAGAGCAAGTTAGGTAACCCTTAGTGATATTTTCGTTTTCACCAACCTTTAGGGGACACCTAAGTGCTTAGGTGTCTCTTAAAACTTAGGGGCCCGAATGTTTGGGCACGCCGTCATTGCGGCGGTAAGACCCGTTATGGAGGATTGGCTCGAGAGGCGTCACGGGACCCTCTCATACCGATTGACGCAGGTGATCACTGGGAAGGGATGTTTCGGAGATCACCTGTGTCTGATCCGCAAGGAGCCAACGCCTGAGTGCCACCACTGCGATGGCCAGACCGTGGACACGGCTCTCCACACGCTGGCAGAGTGCCCGGCGTGGGTTGAGCAGAGGCGAGACCTCGTGGCGGCCATCGGAGTGGGAGTTCTCTCGCTCGATAGCCTGATTGCGGCTATCGTGCGGAGCGAGAGTGCGTGGAACTCTGCCGTCTCCTTCTGCGAGCAAGTTATGCTCGCGAAGGAGACGGCGGAGCGGGACCGGGAGAGGTTTAGAACTCTCCCGGCCCGCCAGGCCCGGGCACGGGCCAGGCAGCGCAGGCGACTCAGGCGCCGGAGGTCGCAGAACGACCTCCGTCCTCCATAAGCGCAGGCCTGGGGGTGACAGGTGAGGCCATCTGTCACCCTAGCAGAAGCAGGCCGGGGTGGCGGCGAGCGCGTTGCGAAGCGCGCTCGCTTCCAGGGAGCACAGGGAACATGGGGTTCCCACACGGGGCGGGGGTCGTCTACTCGTCTGTAGATGACCCGAGGTATGTCGGGGCACCAGGGCCTTCCTTTCTAGGGTATACCTGGTTCCCCGGCTATTAGTACCCGGCGAAGGCGTGCGGTTTTAGTCGGTTCGAGTCCGACATGCCACCGACAGGTGGTATCCGAGGGGATTTCCGCACGGAAAAAAAAAAAAAAAAAAAAAAAAAAAAAAAAAGGGGGCCCGAATGTTGACCACCTAACTAACCCCTAACAAAGTGACAGAGCAATTTGAAGCAACTTTTGTTTAAAATTATTGAAATGGACGATTTATGGGATATTTTCAATACTGTTGAGACTTTAGAGATGATGAATAACCTAGGTGACGCCTTATAAAATACGGGCCTAAATGCGATCGTAAGCTTAGTCTCGTATCTTTACCGAAAATACTTTTTATGACTGTTGTGGAATAGAAAGTTGACTGGAACTGAATTGAGATCGAACTTTTATTTGGAGAATTGGCTTTCTGATCCTAAGAAATTCTTGATCGATAACAAATACAATTTAAGGAACGCAATTTTTTTTTGTACTCAGTAATTCTAAACTATGAGTATACTTGGCTTAAAGGGGATTTCAGATTGATTTTTTTTATAGGTGGAAATTGTTATTTATCAAAAAATAAAAAAGGCACTAATTAATATGTCATAACTTTATATTGAGTACTTCGTAAAATGTGAATAGCTCGATTGTGCATGATACCTAATGTTTATTAGACCCGATATGCGTGTCTGTTAGTCATGTAATTTTTAAATTAGAAGTGTGGTACCAAATTTTGCAAATGAAATATTTTTATTGTCTTTCAATAACGCCAATAATCCCTTTTTGGTTTTTTACTGTTAAAATAAAAAGTACAAAGTTTTCTTCTCATAAACAAAAATTACCTAACAAATCCTATCCCAGAAATGTGTTTTTTTTATAGTTAATTTTCAGAGAGGTCATTTTCACGTAAGTTTCGAATTTTCCCCTGGAGACAAACAGCACAAACAAGACCAACAGTATTAAAATAACTTCTGAATAGTTTATTTTTCATAGACGCGCTTGTTATGAAAATAAATGAAATGTCTGTTAAATCATCAAAAGTTTCTATAGGAAAGGAGTTTTTTAAGGTTGGACACCCAATCTAGTGAAACCATAGATAAAGAATACCATTTCTTCTTTGTGAAATGAACATCGAACACTCCACTGACACTCAACGTCAACACAACAGCTTAGGAGAATATGTATTCTGTGCAAAACAGTCAGCACTAAGGATTAAGGTTAGACAATTCGTGTGAATCGGTTGCCGAACCGAACCGTTTAAATTGCAGTAAACCGCT